TTCCATATTTTGTTTTCTTTGACCTGTTTAATTTTTCCTTAAAAATATCTGTTTAATTTTATTCTATCATCATTTCAAAAAAAACTAATTTATTCTATCATTTCTTTTTTATTTTATCACTTCTAATTTGCAAATTTGAGTATTTTTTAAAAAGTTTTTTTAACACCAGTCTTTCAAGCCTGAATTTTTTGGGCAGTTTATAAATTAATCTTTTAATCAATTTATAATATATTAAATTATTAATAGAGTGGTTCATCATATTTCAAATGTGATTATCGCTTTTTTGACTTGACAATGGATTATGCATTTTGTTTTATCTCAGAGTACTTATTTAAGTGTTATTTATTCAAATCGAACTGAGGCTTACGCCTTGTTCCGCCTCGAGGCTTACGCCCCAAGGCATTTTGCTTCCCCGCCTTGAGGCTAGTTTTCGCCTTTTAAAACCTTGTTAGATAGACAATTCATTCGTGCAGACACGTACAGTTTAAATGATATTCAATGGAATGATGGATGCTATCTTTTTTGCGTGAGATTGTTTCAGATTGCATCTTTACATCTATCAACTTAACTGTTAATCGATCATCATTATTTTCTTGATGGCCAGTGGTTTTCATGGTATCTATGATGTTGAGCATTTTATCAACACATTGAGGTATGATGTAAAGATTGTGGAGAGGATTCCTGAAATTCAGAAAAAAGGGAAGACTAAGAAAATAAAAGCGTTTCAGGTAATGAGCCGTTATGTTATGTCCATGGAATATGAGTACATGGTTTTATTTCTAATGTATAGTCAATATAAACTCTTGTGATTCAGCTTCGGCCTCCTAGAGATGCTCCTATTAGTTGGTATACAAATGATGCTATGGAGAAGATGAAGGAACATGGTGCTATTTATCTAACTCCATTTTCACACCGCCTGGCAGAAGAGATTGACAATCCAGAGTACCAGCGGCTGAGGTGTAGAGTTAACTATCATGCTCTTAGGTTTAAGCCTCATATAATGGAATTGAGCAATGCAATTGTCAATAGACTTCGTACACAAGGGCACTTTATGTCAGTTCATCTCCGGTTCGAGATGGATATGCTAGCATTCGCTGGGTGAGTTACATGATGTTCAATTGCTTACTTTGTGGTCACTTATTAAAGAAACAATTTACTGGGTGGCATAAGAAAGAAACAATATACTGGGCATTTGGTTTAGGTGATCTCACAGTACATAGGTAATTTGTGAAAATTAACACGGTGTTTGCTGCCTTGCTTATATTTTGGAATGCACCCAAGTGCAGGAACTCATGCCTCTCGATAAAATAGGATGAGGACTTAGAAGCTGACTGGGAAATACTTGTAACTTTAATGGTGGCTATCAGCTCGTATGAATAAACAGAAAAATATTCTTTAAAGTTTTAGCACTGGAAGATAGTTCTATAATATTGCAGAATCAAAGAAACAAATTCTTTCATGGTGCATTGTTGTCAAAAATTTACAGCATTGTGACCTGAAGTGTTATATCCAGGTGCTTTGATATATTTACCCCTGAAGAGCAAAAAGTTCTGAAGAAGTACAGGATGGAAAATTTTGCAGAAAAGAGACTTGTTTATAGTGAAAGACGGGCAATTGGGAAATGCCCATTAACTCCAGAAGAGGTATCATTTATGTTGCTGTCTTGCCGAGTCTTTTTTCCTCTTCTGTTGTCTCTTTTTGAAGAATTGAAACATTTGTTTAGTACTCTGTATCTAAAAACAAAAGGCAGAAGTCTGAAAAGTTTTTGGAAACAAGAATTTCTTGATTTCATTGTCTCCTAAAACATTTTTAATGATCTAGGCAATGTATATAAAACATTTAGAATGTCTATAATAATATGGTATTAATGTATCATGACAAATACCTCGTCGAATGAAAGTTTCATGTATCAGAAGTTCTTTTTTGTCCTAGAAAAGAGTATTATAACGAACTATTTAATTTTTTCATGTAACATGCCAAATCAAGTTACCAACAAGTTAAATATGAAAAATTTTGTTGAAACAATAAATACATTTTATAACTGTAAACATAATCTCATGACTTTTGATAGTTAAACATGCCAAAATTTAAAATTAGGGTCTGAAGTAATATATAAACCGCATATCGAAACAGATCTACCCAACACATTTCACATTTTAAAAAAAATTGAAAACAAATAAAAAAAATCTGAAAATAGAAGAAAACACGATGAATCTTTTACGATGAATGCATATATGACTCATGATAGCTTATTTCCCCAAAAAAATTTATTTCCACTGCTATTAAACTGGCGAGTGTTAGTGCAGGTTGGCCTGCTCTTGCGCGCAATAGGGTTCGACAACTCAACAAGGATATATCTAGCGGCGGGTGATCTGTTCGGTGGAGAGCGGTTCATGAAACCCTTCAGGTCCATGTTTCCTCACCTGGAGAATCATAGCACGGTGGACACCTCGGGCGAGTTATCAAAGAACAACAGGGGATTGCTAGGCTCTGCTGTGGATTACATGGTATGTCTCCTGTCTGACATTTTCATGCCAACATATGATGGTCCCAGTAACTTTGCCAATAACCTCCTCGGACACCGGCTGTACTACGGGTTCCGAACAACCGTAAGACCGGACCGCAAAGCCCTCGCCCCTGTATTTATTGACAGAGAGAAGGGACAGAAGCACGGGTTCGAAGAAGCCGTCAGGCGCGTGATGCTGAAAACGAACTTTGGCGGGCCCCACAAGAGGATTTCGCCCGAATCTTTCTATACGAATTCGTGGCCCGAGTGTTTTTGCCAGAAACCGGCTACGGACAATGCTCATAAGTGCCCACCCGATGATGTTTTGGGAGTGTTGGAGAGTAAACTACAGAACAAAGTATCGAATGCGAGTTTCATTGGCGGATAGAGATAGGCTATAAGTTTTTCTTTTCTTTTTCTTTTTACACTTCCACAGGCATCACTTGTAATCCTACTTGCCCTTTATAACCAAAGCATCAATGTCTACTAGCTGGTTTATTCATGGGAACAATAATGCTAGTATACCCCGAGTTTGACACCAAATTTTACGCCATCGAGCTATTTTTTGCACAGAGAATAATTGTTTGGTGAGGAATTATTCTCTATGAGGCACTAGTGGTGTCAACTTTGGAGTTATTGTAGCATGGTTCTCATTGGAAAAAGTGTAATTGCACTGCTGGCCCCCACACCATCCCTTCCATTTGCCATTCATTGGGGTTTGGAGGGACACAAATCAAAAGGATGTGTGTAGCTCAGAAAAAGCTGTACAAGGGTTTTACACTTTTACCCTCGAACTTTGTACTAGTGGTTGTTTCATTCCTTTGGCCATATTTGAATTCTCCATTATGGATTGCAGGTTAACCCTTAAGAGTAAGATTGCCCCGTTGTATTAATGTTACAAAATGAGATAAAATAAAAATGGATGTGAATTACACAAATATATGGAGTATGTTTTTAGACAAATCAATTTTACAAATATGGCCAAATATAAAATTTATTCTCTTTAATTTATTCTTATTACTTATTCTTATTGGAATCAATTCAGACCAGATCAGATAAGATAATATCAGAAACAACTTTAAATATAGTTATAATAAGATTGTATTAGAATGTTTGAGACAGAGTGAGCAATTCTTTTATCAGAGTAAATAAAAACGGAAGCCCCTTCCCATATAAATCCTCTTACAAACAACTAGAAAATTGTTGTTGGGTACTCTATATTTTATGGTAAGAGCTCCCTAGTTTCTTCGAGTTTTAAAATCTACTCCTCCGTAGCCTAATATATGTGTTAACTCATTGGAGAGGGACTTTCCATCCATTTGCCTGTCAACCCATCACTCTATCACAAGATGCACCAATTTCGCATGCACCAATTTCGCGTTCAATATTGAGTTGACTTCCCCAAGAAGATAGTTGTGAGAACCGATTATGATGATGATGAAGATGACGGAGTGATGGATTGACAGACAAATGGATGGAAAGTCTCTCTCCATCAAGTTAATAGTACTAATTTTAGGGTATTCGGGAGTATTTTACGGGAGTATTTTAAAAATAAAATGTATCTGAGAGTTCTTACCATAAAACATAGGGTACCCAAATTTTTTTTTGTACAAACAACATCACCAAAACTTATCTCATAGTTTAAAAATTCACTTGTACTTCTCGCTAAACTTGGAAAAAGGAAACGTGGCTAACAAATTAAGAATAATGTGTTTAGGATAGTTAACATTTAATTTTAAAATTTTAAATTATTTTCAGCCATATGAATATTCCTAATGACAGCATTCCAAATCTTATACGGAGTAACTTATGAAAAATTCTAGTGTAACAAAGAAAGTACTCCCTCCATTCTAAATTAAATTACTTAATTATTATTCACAGGGTCAAATTTTATTCACTTTTTTTTATTTTCATTAGTTATTTGATAAAATAATATAAACACGTCACTACTAATTTTGTAGAATTTTTAATATATTTTAAAATATGTACTTCCTCCGTCCCAATTTATAGTGTTTGTTCAATATTCACAGGATCAAACTACATTCACTTTCTTTATCTATTTTTGTTAGCAATTTGATAAAATAAAGTACTATTGTCACTACTAGTTTTGTAGATCTTTTGATGTAGTATTTTAATATATAATTTTTATTTTTTTAACTTTATACTATTTGTCATATAAAATGATTTGAAAATAATTTCAGTCAAACATTGTAAACCGAAACAGGCACCATAAATTGAGGCGGAGGGAGTAATTTTTATTTTTAAATTCTACACTATTTTTTTATATAAAATGATTTAAAAATAACTCCAATCAAACATCGTAAACTGAAAGATGCAATTTAAATTGGGACAGAGGGAATACATTTTCAAGGGAGAAGTGAGGGATAAAAAAGGAACAAACAAATTTGGTCAATAATAGAATCGAATAGATGGAACATGAAATAGTTTTGAGAATTTCCATCTGTACATTCTAAGGACTAGTGAGTAATGAAAGCTTGAGGTACTTCAAGTTTGCCATCTTCTTCTCACAGACAATGCTAATTCAACCAGATTAAACAGCCAAACCAATGACAGGATATCACCAAAAATCATAATAAGAGGTAAACTCTCAAAGTATCTACAAGACAACACCATACATTTGCCACACTTAGCTATTCTATAAAACCGAATCGTATTCTATAAATCGTAATAAGAGGTAAACTCTCTAATAATCTGACATTTACATACTATGTCTTACCCGGCATACAAANGTCTAAAAGTAATACGGAGTATATCCAAAAATGGAGGTTTAGGCAGATGTGGTGGTGCGTAATTTGTTGGCGACGTATAGCAAGTGGGAGATACTTGTGGATGGATAGTTTTGGAGTAGTTTCAGATTAGAGGTGAAATCCCCAGCAAGTAAACGCCTCCGAACGATTATCAGCATTGCGCAGCAGACTCTGAGCAGTGTGTCCTGTGCATGCACCAAATCATTGTTTACATAAGGAAAAAATGCTCTATGATTAGGTTTTAGAACAGTGATGGGAAGATAAAAGTGTACAATTTGAATTTGGATATCATAATCTATAGGACCAAAAACAATATATTGTGCATTTGATCTAACCTTTAAAATAAGATATAAGCATTTTGTCCCCAAAAGAGTCGAGTTTCATTAGGGCAGTGTTTGGTACAAATGAAATGGTGTTTCGGGAAAGCCATTTTCCCATTTTTGGTAGACATGGGATTTTTATCCTTGGAAAATTGTTTTCTATTGTGACAAAATTCGTTTCTTGTGGTGAGATTTTTTGGTACGAATTTCCGTGGTTCGACTTGAATACTTAACTATCTACCTACCTCCTTGGACAGAAGTGTTTTGCAGTGCAATTTCAGAGACATGTAATATCAACTTTCGAACAATTATAGACCATTGAGGATATGGGTTACAGAACTCTAAAATCTGAACCATTCCGCAGCCAAAAATCTCAATGATGTGCATATATGTGCAGTATGGTCTAGAAGCATATAGCTTGTCCAAAAATTTATTTTCTTTGTACCAAACACTGCCTAAATGAAACTATCTTTTCACATAAATTGTCAAAGAAAGGTCACACAAAAAAAAGTATAAAGAAAATGAAAACTGTAAGACCAAGAGCAAGGCCCAACCTGCTACAATGAAAAAAGAAAAGAAAAAGAAAAGCCAATAACACACACTTGCCTGAGGGCCTTCAGGGTCACTGAGGAGTGTGTCCCATATAAGAAGACTGTCTGCGAAATTGAATTCCTGTGTAAGAAGAAGAGTTATCCATCTGAACGCATAGAATTGTGGATTGACCTGTTTAATTCAGCATCACATCTGACGTTAGAAGTCAAGTTTTAACTCAGGAAAGTCAAACATTCAAGTTAATGTTACCAAATAAAATCACAGATGATCTAACCCATGTAAATGATAATAACTCATACAGTAAGTTTCAAAAGTAAAACAAATTGTCCACAAAGGTTTAGACTGAAGTTAGTGTGGGCAGGTTCTGGGTCCCTAGCTAGCTAAACTACACCACTACTCCACGTATGGATACACCTTTGGTACTATACTATGGCAAACATTGTATGTCTAACCCCCCACCCCTTATCCACAATGCAAGTTATCTTTCCATAAGAAGTTTTCCCTTTTTGCTCCTAAGACCATTATGTTATTCTGTCTTTTGGTCCACAACTTCGATTACTTTAACTACTGGTGCACAACAATGGATTGTTGCCACTTTTGGCCCTTTCCAGCCACTAATGGGCTAATATCATCTAGAAAAGAAATTGTACGTACGCTGACCGGATAAATGGTGGGAAGAACAAACAGTGGTAACGAATATATGGTTATCCACTCAAATGGAAAGTGTCAAAGAATCTATAACCGTGCACCAAATGTGGAAAAAACAAACGTTGACAACAAAAGTTAAGGTTTTTCAATTATATTGTTATGGAAGTGGACATGTAGGCTATATACTTCTGTAGTAAACGAAAAGGTGTACATATTGGCCACTCAGAAGAGAAAAAGTTAGCAATGATTTGTTAGGAAGGCCTATACACAAATAATAGATCTTACTTTGGTTGTCACATCTAGATGACGCCATAGTTCTTCATCATGCTCTTTCAGAAGCTGTGACAATTTTGTAATTGTAGACCGGATCCCAACAACACTGTTGTCAAGTTGCTGGCAGAAATGATCCCTAAATCCACTTAGAAGTTCCACAAAGCAGAAGAATGTGTCCGCTTCTGCGGCAGCCTGCATAGCTTGCAAGTGGAAGTTGATGAGAACACTAACTTCAAAGAAAAATAAAGCTGCTACACTATAGAAGTGACAGAAGGAGACACAATAAGAGACAATCTCACCCTTCTCATTCTACACTCTACTCCCAAGCCCGAACAAACAAATCCCATTGTCTCTCTCTATGAGAAAGAGAGGGAGAGAGAGAGAGAGAGAGAGAGAGATCTATTTCTGTGTTTGTAATCCCTCCTCATTATTAATTAATACCTTCTTTTCCCATTAATATAACAAATAATCCCTTCCCAAAAGAAGAGGCATGTTTCAAAAGTTATTTTCATCAAAAAAAGAGTCTGATTTTCTACTGAAGAAGCTAATATTCATTGAGTTTTATGTGATTTTCAAAAAAAAAAGCCTAACTGGTTAAGTATGATGATTTGCAAGAGTAGTACCTTATTAAAATTTAAAGGATGTGCCTCGATGAAACATGACTTCTTTTTTTGGACAGAGTTATATGTGTAATTATATATACACAACTGACACAAGCAAATATGATATCGTCAATCCATCAAGGTGTCAAGCTCTCAAGATGAACCCTTGTGAAGGTTCTTGGTGTTTACAAAATCAATAAAACTTGATTTCTAAATCCCTCCATCATTCAATGCTCGTATATAATGTTTTCTATTTATACTTTTGGCACCTCAAAAAGATGAAGAGCAATGCAAGCAGAAAATGAATAATAATGGTAATGATGAATGATACTAATGAAAAGACTAACAGAGTACATTGTTTATCAAGAGAAGCCATACACCAGCACACTCCCCATAAATTAGCGAAATGAAGCTAAAAGAAGATTTTATAAATAGAAAGTTCCCACAAGCTGCTTTTCACACTTGACACCCTTCATTTATAACTTATTATTGTCTAAGAATAGTGCAGTAAGGCATGCTCACTGGGATGGATCTACAGTAGTACAATACTTAAAAAGGAAACACGAAATCACTTACTGCATTTTCTTCATTCGGATCATTTTTGAACACATAATAGAGTGGTGCCAAGAGCTCATTCATCCCTTGCACATATCTTATGCCAGGATTCAGTTTTGCAAATACAATGAGGATATCCTTCAGAGCTTCCTGAAAGGAAGACATGTAATAAGCTAATTAACTGAATTCTAGACCCCTTTAGAAAAACTGAACATTAGACTGAATTCATGCCTAACAAAGTAGATCTCACCTGATTTAATTTCGCAAAGGGTGTATCCCCAGAGAAAAAGTTAAAATCTGGGTGAGTACGCTTGACATCGCGTTCAATCTGTTCCATGATCTCTGTATCCTATAGGAGTAAAATAATTTTACTGGGCATCAGCATAACATCAAGCCAGGTAGCATCTTTAATTTATGAATGCCAAGCAAGCTAACATGGTCATAAAAAAGAGGAGATAAAAATGCATGGATCATACAGAGTATGTAGATATGACATACATATGAATATATGATTACTTAGTTTCATAAAAACAATATAATCACAACAGCTATACTCTTTGCTTAACTCAAGATATATGATCCAGTACTAGTTATTGCTCCCTCCGTCCGGATTTAGTTCATTTCTAAAAATACCTCAACTTTTAGGAAAGAGAGTAAAATAACAAAAAAATCCTAGAAAATGCTAATATGCTCTTTTAGGGGAAATTGTTTACAACTCACAATAATTTGCTTATTATAAATTTGGCAAGTATACTATGTACAACTAATTCCTGAAGCCCCAAAAAAGAAAAATGTACAATTAAATCCAGACAAAGATAGTGTAAATATAATCCATTGTAAAGCGAGAAGGCCATGACAATGCCACATATTTCTTTTGTTAGAATCGTTAGCTCTTCCTAAATTGAGAGTGTGAATTCATATACTCCAGGATTAAGGGAAAATGATGCCGAGTTATTCCGTATGGAATTCACATTCAAGGCAAGCATGTAGGGCATCGTATGCACTGAGACATTTTCCATAATGTTCTGCAATGGTGCTGTTTAGTCCACTTTTTTTCTTTATATCACGGTGCTTTTTTTATAACCTTTTTGATTTATGATATATTTCATCCACGTAGAAATCATCCTTTGACGATAGTTTAAGAAATTTCCTCTCAATATTCATTATTACTTCTTAGATAGGTTGCGACACAAAGGGCATCTGACAATCTGGCATATACTATGAATTTACAGGTAAATTTACAATCAACTAGCACCATAAATTTTATTTCCGCCAATTTTAATTAGTTGGGATTTAGTTGCGGATAATGATGGTGACAATGACGCTATCTGTTTGTGAAAACAAAAACAAATATCTTACCTGGAAAAATTGGTTCCACACGCTATTTTTTCCAAGACTTAAAGGATGTTCTCCATGAGTAACTTCTGACCTTGAGAGTAAACCCTTGCCTTCACCATTTGGTTCATTAATATCAATAGTTGATTTCTCCAACCTTCTTGTAATCTCAGACTGCCTAGCCATAACCACAATCAGAATTTCCAAGGACTTCCAAAATTGGTTGAGTAATTAGAAAGTCAACAAAGACACCAAGTTGAAGTGGTTTTGCCTAAAAACTGCACAAGCAACCAAACTACCTTTTCTAATTAAACTGATGCATTGATTATAATAACTTACAGGGTTCATCAAAAGGTCATCCTTAAAATGCTTGTATTGGGACCTTTTCTTTGTCAACTCCAATGGCCATGATGATCTATCAATTGGAAGATACCCCAGCAGTAGCTGCAAGCAGTGAATTCACATTCTTCTATAGACATGAGTACACATAAACAAAAGATTTCTCTTTCGAAATTTTTAAATTAGGACCGTATGTATCCAACAAAGAGCTATTTTTTCAGACAGTAACTTTAATTAACATTTGTACCTTCCACACTGTTGCACGAATGCCAGCTCCATCAGGTATTCCTTGCGAAGCTAGCTTCCTAACTTCCCCCATGTTTATGGTCTTTCTTGACAGCTATCAAATGAAGAAACTGATAAATACAATACTCCCTCGGAGAATTGAAAAATGAAGAGGTGAGTGTGACATTCTGCAGAAATCAATTCATGTGCATACTATGGAAAATTCAAAGGCATAGGGATATCAATGAATTATGCCAACTATAATAAAATACAAAGGAAAGAAAAAATGTGCAGATTGAGGGGGAAAGAGACCACTTGGCAAAGCTGTGCTTGGCGAGAAAAATCCTCCGCTAAAGAGCTGGCTGCAGCAGGGGAGGCGGATGTGGTAGAGCTACGGGCTGAGCTTTCATTGTCTTCATCGCTATTATAATTATTACCGCATAACGGATCCCTAATTTCCACTTTATGACGGCGCGCGTCTGTTTTAATTGCAGGCGGAGGCGCAGGGATCACCGGCCGCTCGACCGGATAATCAGCTCCAGTCTTCGTCGATTTGGTGACGGAACGGGAGGGGCGATCGGCGGCATCCTCGCCGCGGATTGCAGACGGCGGAGGAGCTGACGGTTGTTGCTGCAGCAACGGGGAAGGCGCCTCGGCAGGAGGAGCCGGAGAAGACCAGAGGGAGCTGTTGAGCCAATCGGGGACTTGCCTCTTAACCATCTCGATTTCCAATACCTTCACAGCATATATGAAGAAATTAGGAGGAAAAAACCGGCGAAATCAGGAGTTTATACAGGCACCGGAGTGCGACGGAGGCGGTGAGTGGATGACGGCGGGGCTTGGTGTTCGGGAGTCGTGAGTCGAGGTCTCCGGCGACGTCGCGCCGGCGATCAGTCGATTGCCGGTGAAGAAAGTATGAAAATCGCTTCCGTTATGTCGCTTGAGGTCACGTGGAGTTGAATGGGGGGGGCACTTGGCACATGCAACACTTTACACTACCATAAATATCATTTTCACTCTACACAATAATATTTGTGCAACAAAAAAAAATGCACCAAACTGTACATTTTTTATTACAATAATGATCTTGAAAGGACAATTTTGTTGTTCAGTTTCTCTGGTCTACATATTATCATAGGCTGGCTATGGAGGGTAATTGTGTAAATATCACCATTCACTAATACCCACAGCAACAACAACAATCTAATAATATCGAATTAATTATTGTTGGTGAGATGGAAGTGATCAGCGATGGAAGGTGGTTGGGTAAAGCTATTTGTATTTCAAGTATTTTTGCCTCATTTTGTACACCGCAGGGATGCACCAATATTTTGTGTTGATATAATGGTAATTTTTGTTAACATTTACAGAATATATCTTATGCTCATGAAATAGATCCTTAACTTATACTCCGTACTATATATTAAGTTTTTATGATTTCATCATGGATTTGCAAGTTTCAATTTCTAATCTATAGCTCCAAAATACTTGTTTGTCTTTTAACTTCTGAACTTCAAATTTGAGTTTACAAAATAAAAAATTGATGTGAATCTATTACATTAAACAATCATTTGAAAAGCTTAAACCATAGTACAATATCTTCTATATTTTGTTTCAATTGTCACAAGAATTTTATGTTTTCCATTGTGATCTTCTTTAAATAGTTTTATTATAAGTTAATGTAGCATGGTATAAAAGGTGGAAGAAAACTCTTCCATGCTTTTAACCGCGAAGACCAGTGCCATTTTGCTAGATTATCTTTATTTTTTACAAACTTCACATTTTTGCATCGTATGTGCATAGTTTGCGTGTTTCACGTTTTCATTAAAGGAATGACTAGTTATGCAATAACTTATTTTACCATAAAGATTATTTCATAATTTTTGAAAATCTAAAGACCATTTACCTATTTATAGAAGATAAAAGAAAGATTATTTATGCATGCAACTCTATTAGTTGAGTATACAAGCATTGCCACATCTTCATAAGTTTATTAGCTGGTCAAGAGAAGATACAAAAGAACTAATTAATTTCGAAATTTCACTCTTGACAATGTCGGTGTCGAGTGTTCATGTTCTTCATAAAGATTAAAATATTGAAAAAAATTAAAAATAGTGAAAAAGTTACTGATTAGAACTTATTTAAAAGAGAAATATTTTAAATCACGTGCATGTTCTTTTCAATAAAAAAGTAAAAAATATTATTTCTCGATGGATATACATGAAAATGAAAAAAGTTTTGTAGAATGGAAGAAGTTGATTAATAATTCTCAAGTGATTATTTCAACATCATTATAGTATCTTTGTCTCAATGTGTTTGTCTAGTTTGATTTTTTGTAATTAAACTAGATATGTTTTGATTTATCTTGTAAAATATTACATGTGTGGTTCTGTCTCATATTATTTGTTTAGTTTTAACTTATACGCTCAAAGTTATCTCTTTTGAGGATCAAACTCGTGTGGTAAGGTTCCCCATTTAGCCTTGTGACCATCTCTTCAATGCAATACTTTGTGTGTGTGCGTCTATATATATATATATATATATATATATATATATATATACACACACATACACACACACACACATAGACGCGCACACACAAATATTTGTATTCTTATTCGATTTTTTAAAAATACCGGAGTATGATTTAATACAAACCGTTATGAATCACAAATCAAATCAAAATAATTCGCTACATTCACAACCATGCATCCATTGGAGTGACTCTTTGTGACACAAGATAAATCCTCTAACGATCAGACTAAAATTATATCGTGATTTACAATAAACTGTTTATTGCAATTGATGATAGAAAGGAATTGAAGGATAACAAATGCATGTGACAAGGACTAATGTACAAGTTAATTTAATCAACGTGGGTTAGTTTGATATATATGTTTTATAACCATTGATGAATTCTATGATCCAATCCTCCAAATCACATGTAAACACAAAAGCAAATAAACGACAGGCTAAGGTGGTCAAAACGACACCCACCAAAAACCAAACAACATAAATACATAATACACACACTAGTCTTTTGCAAGCTGTATTTTGCATGCGTTGGAGATGTCTAGCGCCATAGGCCCTTTTTTGTTCACATGCTCATGGAACCTTTTAACATCTCAATTTTGATTATAGTTTTATTCTCTTTTCTTCTCGAGAATTTTTATGTTGTGCTAATTATTTTTTGCATTTTTAAACAAAAGCTTATAGAACTATATCTTCTTTTTAATTTTTTTATTTTTTAAATAGATTTTAATTATTTCCATGTTTATATAATTCATACGGGCTTGGCTCGGGCCTTGGTCACAACTTTTTTTTTTTTTAAATGGACAAGCTTAGACGGAATATGACTCATATTTTATCGAGACGGGTAAAATTAAACTTGGGTTTAGTAACTTCTACCCGAGTAGTAATTATTGGTATAACCTTCGTCCTGCCCAAACTTGATTCATGTCCACCAAGAACATGTGCAATTGGGAGGCAAAAATAGAATACTACACTGTGAAATGGAACAATTCAATCAATCAAAAATAATTCATTCAGCGTGGAACAAGTGAGTGGCATGACATATGATGCAGTGGAAAATCAATGTTTTTACTTGTCTTTTTTCATAAAAATAGATGAACTCCTTATAAAAGAAGTCTTCTTTATCGTACAATAAAAATAGCAAAAAAAAAAAAAATTGGGAATAGTTTGCCTCGCCCATGACTTTCAAACCATGGAGGAATAGTGATGCCATGCGAGGCACAAGGAAATTGAGGTGGCGTGGAAGGCAATGTCTCGCCGCTTCCTTTGCTCTAATATGTCATTTGTCTATGGTCATAATTCGTGTAATTTTTTGTCTCATAAAACCTTTCAACTTACATTTTTTACTTGTTTAATAAATATTTTAATTTGGACTAAGTGGATATAAATGCCCTTGTTTCAACTATCTTAAGTCCTCTCCACTATGACATTTCTCTTCTCAAATTCTACGCGCTTCAATTTTCGTCATTTCCCTTTTCTCAAACTTCTATACTTCCCCTTCCAAAAATCAAAACTGGAAAAATCACTAGCTTATATTGCATGTTAATAGAAGAAAAATCATTAGATTTATCATAGACGCCATACCTTAGCCAATAGATGTACTCTAGTTTCCATATTTTAATTTTCCAGGCTCCAAATTTCAATCTCCAAAAATTCATATCATATCATCCAAACCAAATGTCTCCGACCTAAAACCTTAACGACAAAGTCTTAGGGCAAAAAAAAGTACGTTTGCTTTTCTAATGTCTTCGGATCATTAATTGTACTTTTTCTTGTCAAATTCATTTAATTAACAACCATGTTATGGTACACCAAAAAGTGTACCCAAAGAAATACACCAACATTTAAGATGGCACCAAAAAACATCCACATATAAGTTGGGGAATGATAGAGGTATCCAGAATTGTACATCATTTGTATACCAAAAGTAAACACATAATGTTTGTGCCCCAACATAAAATGCATGTGTTAAAATATTTTCCCCATAGGTTTAAAAGAAAAAACTTAGAAGTTTTCACAAATAGGTTGGAACTATAGGATCATTGGAAGTGGGCATGAAAAACCATAGTGAAAGTGAACACAAATGGTTCTCCAACCAACCAAACAATCACCAACTCAAGCACATACTTAGGCCATGTGTTATGGAGGAAACTTAGACGGGCTTGATGGTGTTTAAAGAGATATGATGTAAAATGATAAAAATAATATGTATGTTATTGTGAGTGAATGGAAGTGATGGGATGTGAATGTTTTAAATTTTGATTAGTAGAAAGAAAAAGAGGGTCGGGATGGAGGTGATCAAACCTTAGAGAGAATAAAAAGCTTAATTTAACTTAATAGTTGACAAAATGGTTGTGGGCATAAAGAACAAGCAATGATCATAACACAAATAACACACCACTTAGCAATACACCAACTAGTTTACTTAATAAGGAAGTCTCACATGATCAAAACCATCAAGTCATGATTTCTCATCCAAACATATTTAAACCAAACTTTCAAGAAAACTTCAAAAAACAGGAACATAGTCATCCCAACATACCAAAAACCAAAAGCTTAAAAGAGGGAATGACAATCATAACCCTCTCTAACGATAATACCATCCCCCGAGAAGGTCTTCAGCGCAGCCTCCGGGCTTCCCTCTCAGACTCCAGAAGAGTTAGGATGTCGCCCTCTCGGACTGGTCCCTTCACGTTCCTCATGATAAACCTATTGGAGTCATCATTAAACTTGACTCTCACCTGGGTCACTTGACCCCGGGATCCGGTGCGACCCATTACCCTCACCACAACAGCATACTTGATTTGGTTATCCATCTGTGAACAACACCAAGAAAGAACAAATATGTTTTAGTTGGAGCCCAATGAATGTGATCATCTTGACAATAAAAACCAGGCAATTCACTTCATGTTCTATCACAAAGCACGATATGTTGATATTTAAGCTGCAATGATAAGAATTTTGAGTGAAAATCAACATATAATCTAAAAGCATAAATTTCAGATTCTGTGCAATCTTGGGAGATGATCAGTTCAAATATTGATTAAAACACCATTGTTCCAACAGAAGAAAAAAATCAAAACTGAACATGATGCATAAATTTCAAAACTTATCATCTAAAATCATAAATTTCAGATTCTGGGCAATTAGCTACTCAGAACAGTCTAGTGATATACTGCTCAATTAATGCAATTCCTACGAAGTTAAACATCAAGCACAATTCCATAAACAGAATCTGCAAATCTGAAATAACACTAGCCACACATGAAAACTTCAGAATTCAGGGAAACATTAGTTCGAAAACCGCGTATTCAAATTTCACAGAGAATCCAAAACAGATTTAACCATACATATTCAAAACTGAATCAAACTGAAATCATCGATTTAACCTTACAAATTCAAAACTACGAATTCAACTCTATGAAAAATCGACTTACCCTTGCAGATCCTGGTTCTCGCCGCCGCTGCTCAAAGGAAGGGAAGAAGGTGAACCCAGATGCTCTCGCCTCGAGTACGTAAGTCTGCAATCTGAAGAACGGAGAGAGGCGGTAGGTTAATAACAAGAAAATGTAGGGTTTCAGAGCAAAGGAATTGGGCTTGCAGTAAGAATGAGACTTGAGCCCAATACGAATTTCTCTTTTTCTTTTTCCTTAACCAAAAAATCTGCCCAAAACTAAACACCCAATTCACACTATAATTATTAGGAAAATACTATAATCACAAATGAAAAAGTCATAAATCTATTATTTTTGAATTTAAGTTTTTATTTTAAACTTATTTGAGGATATTTTATTTTTTATTTGGCTCACAAATAAATTGTGAATTACGGAATTTTGTATTTTTTTGTTTGGGACTTAAGCATTTTTCTCATTTATTTTTAACAACCACAACCCCACAAAATAATATTTGGAGAGGATGTCTATATATAGATATTATCTCTACTCGAAATTATAGATGTTGTCTCCAAGAATTTTTAAACTAATTTTTAGTGCGACCAAGGTCAAAGCAAATTCTTTCTTGATCTTTAGGCACACACTCATTTTATAAACTTACTCCGTATTTTTTTCAGAGTTATAAACCTAACCCGTGAACTGCTGGTTTTGACCCGGGTCGCACAGGAAACGGATTTCTGACTGAAACCGGACCGGAAGTCTAAGTCTATGCGGGTCGCAGTTCGGCCCATTTAAAAATGTCTCATTTAAAAAAATTGATAATTCTTACCATTTTTAATCCCGACAAACTCTCTTTCCCAGTCCCTACCCGAACTGACCTCATACTTCCTTTAATTGCACCCCCACCCTCCACTACCCACAAATTTCAAATCTCGCTTGACACTTCTATTTTTTTATTTTATTTTATTTTTTTCAAGGATAAGATGTAAATTATTAGTATCCAAGAGTCAATACAAAGTACATCCACGAATAAACATACAATGCATCAGGGCATACCCCTAGCATTTTTCCAAAAAGAGAGAATGGCACACATGCCAAGGGACGCACGCCCATCAACAAAACATGAGTAAACAAGTACAAGCACAAGGAAAATGAACACCACGCAGAACATGACCATCACATCCCCAGGTCCTATCTCGTCCTCGCGCGTCATCATCCTCATCGTATTCCTCAAAAGCATGATCATTCAAAATATCCTCCGAAGGTATGGGTTCGTTCCTTCATCATTGGAACATTTAAGCGTCCATGGTCATGAGAGCCTTGGTAATCATCAAGACACCAAAACCGGAGGGTCACAAGCGTTAATGACTGCCACTACATCAACATAGACACCAAAACCGGAGGGTCACAAGCGTTAATGACTGCCACTACATCAACATATCCCTCAGCAATGCTAGGATCATCAGGTTCACCCTCAGTTTTGAAATGTCGTACCCATGAACGAAGGAGACACCATTGCCAAATGCCAGAGGTTATGGTACTAGTATCCACATCAGACTGGGTATGGCATCACCATGCTCATGCAAAAAAATTGACCCAAAAAGAGAGTGAAGGTCAAAGGTGTGATGGTGGGAATAGCCATGCATATGTCCTTCTCCTCCACACAGGTCACAAGGTAGCCCGGGTGGTGAAGTCCATAAGCCACCACAACATCACCACAAGAATCTGCCCCCAGCCCAAACCGGCAACTAATATGGTTGAAACATAATTCAATCACCAGGGGGGGTTACTTCGAATCCATCCCTTTTGTGGTGTTGAAACATTGGAGCCCAAGGCTCAACAATGGTTTCCATTTCAGTTGATGTTCAAAAAGAAGGGGTAAAAGTGTGACTCGTGGCAGCTCAAAGTACAGCAATTCCCATGACCAGCAAGGTTCAACCCCACCAAAATCAGAATTGGAACCCTGTACAACAGCCCCAGCGTGAAGACTCTCTAGCCATGCCAAAACAGAAGTTAGGTGCTGTCCAAAGAGAAAAATCCAGCGCAGTGATTTTGGGAAGTGTTCAGTGAAGTTTCTGGGCAGTGAACCAGTTGGTGAAGAAACCACAGTCAGCCCCAAAACTTCCGTAACCAAACCACAGCAAACAAAAGTCACCCGGTGCAAGGGATAAGGTTGGTCTGCCAACAACCTTTGCATGCCATCCCATCCCTCAAGAGATTGAGTTCAGCAAACAAACAGCACAAAGGAGTATGCTATTCGAAAATGGCAGCAATGAAAATCAAGAAGTGCCAACAGCAGCTTAAGGTGGCTGTCCAATGAAGTAGCCTAGCCAAACCCAGTGATGCCAATGCCCAGCCCTGGAGAACAGCAAAACATAGCCTAAACACCACAGGAGTTGGTTCAAGCCACACAGAAACAATTCCAAGTGGCTGGTTGTAACCCATTCCACTTAACAAAACCATAACAGCTCCATGAACAAAACCAGAGAACCTGGGCAGTCCAAATGAGAACCTGGGCAGCTCCATGAACAAAACCAGAGAACCTGGGCAGCTCCATGAACAATTTATATCATTTCAATCCTGTAAAAGTCACCAAACAAGCCATTCATATTTATTTCTTCCATTTTTATTAATATAGAGACCAGTAGCCAATTGATCTCAATAGCCACCTTTTATCCGAGCCACAATGGATGGAAAAGCCTCACAAGAGACCAAACAAAAATTGTTGGATATTAATCTCATCTTGCAATAAAAATATGAAACAATTTCCACACAAAAAAAGTAGAAATGAGAAGGTTAGACTGGAATCATATGAGTGGGCATTTGTGTTCAACAGAGGGAAAAAAATTTCTAATTGAGCCCCTCCTCTATTATGAACTTAAAGAAGTGGCACATCTTTGCTACTGAGAACACAACTCGTCCAGCAATCCAAATGCAGGCAAAAGTCTTCTTTCACGAAGATTCGAATCGATTAATAGGCCCCACGTGCGAGGGTCGGGCTTGAATCCCACGTTCACCAGTCCATACAATGCGAATGCTGCCTCGACAAGTTTTCCAGATTCACAGAATCGTACCAACAGTTCGTTTGATGTGGCGTGGTGAGGCCAAAAGCCCCTCCTCAGCATCATCCCCAACAACTCCATGGCCTTGTCCAGTTCACCTTCATTGCAAAGCACATTCAACACGATCCGGTAACATCCCTTGCTAAGGTATACTACCCCCTCCTTAGATAAGCTCTCCACTAAATGCAAAGCTTCATCCCACTTGTGATCCTTGCACAATGCTGCAAGTATAATCCTAACTGCAACATCATCGGATATGTGACCGTTTTCTTTCATCTTCTCAAGCAAATTTACGGCTTCATCAACTCTGCCGCACTTACACATGCAGTTTATAAGAACTGTATAGGAAACCGTATCAAGTTTATTGAAATAACCCTTCATTTCAGTGAAAATCGCAATGCACTCGTCTAATCTTCCTTGCTCACAGCATGCATGCATCAAGGTTGTGTAATTAATGGAATTCGGTGGGCACCCGTTCTTTTGCATGAAATCCAATATTCTCCTACCTTTTTCGATGTCCCCTCCTTGAGAAACCCATCTTATTAAGATGTTATAAGTCAGAGCATCAGGTATTATCTGATCTTTTGAGACCATTTCTTCAAACAAGTTGATTGCCTCTTGGATTCTTCCACACCGGCACAGCCCATCCATGAGTGTTGAGTATGTGATCAAGTTGGGATAAGAAACTTGTGACTTCCTCATCTCTTTAACCACTTCAAACGCTGCCTCAAGATCTGCATTCCTGCAATGATGTTTGACAAGTATGTTGAAAATGCACGCGTTGGGCTCTAAATGGAGATTTTCACGGGCATGTAATAGAAACTGCTTAGCCATATGAATCTTGTTGGCTTCCACCAAGAGATTGAGGCACGTGCTAATGGCCCTAAGAGTTGGCCTTTGACGTACGATTGGCTCAATTGCATTAAACGAATCCAGCACCTTTTCATGAAGAGATGACTTCGAGAAATGCTTCATGAGGTTAATGAATATACCTTCACGGAATTTACAAGTCTCATAGGACATCTGGTGAAGAACAGCATCAACCATCTCAAATCTTTTGCAAGCAGCCAATTTGTGGAGGATAATACCGTATGTGGCATTGTTGTGATTAAACCCCTCTTGATCAGAAACCATGTTGAAGATTTCCAGTGCATGCTGTGGATCATTCTCGCGCCTTATTAATTTAATTGCCACTTCATGAGATACAAATTTCTTTTTCTTAATCTTAGGTGTTTCATTTGTGTTGGTAGAGTTTTCTATCAAGGCAGAAGCTTTTCTTGATGTCTGTTCAAGTTGTTGAAATGCAGACAAAGAGTGGAAGTATTGACTTCTAAGAGCCCAATATTTCATCCGATTCATATGGTATTCTCGATTAATGACAGAGGCTCTTTAGTTTAAGTGCTAATATTCACCACCCAAGTGTTCTGGAAAAAAAAGCATATGCATAAATTAGTGATAAATCATTTTAGCCAATAAATTGGGACTAAATTAGTACATTTCATGAAACCAATCCCAATCATATAAAGTTTCACTTAGTTGTGCTAGCAACCAAGATTGCACATTTTAATGACACAAAAATAGTTCCAACAATCCAAGTGGTGCACAAGTGTGTGAAGGCATAAACAGATAAACACTAAATGGTAAAAAAGGCCATCCTCTGATTTGGAAACCCATAAAGGACACAGCAATCCCATAATAACCCCAATTCTGTCTGTTAGACCTTAGACCCTAGAATGCCTTGAGGCATTGCTGCCCATGGAAAATTTAAAGGAAAACAAACAAGCAAAGTAGCAAACAAATAAATAAGAACTTCACTTAAGTTAGCAATTAGATGCTTGGTGTCCAGTATATTTAACACTTTAACAGAAGGGTTTTATACAACTAATTCATCTATGAGGTATGAACCATATATTTTCAACCGGTGAGAAGATACATTGGCCGAGGCTGTAGAGATTTTTTTGGTTGTTTTAGAAAATTAGCTGTTACTAGTTTGGGACAATGTAAAGCCCTCACTAGTGAAGAACTCAATTGAGGTAAAAAGATAAAATGTGACTTGCGTAAGCTAACACTCGTGGGCTCACACGAAGAATATCTATTTTTGTGCAGTGATATTTGTTACATTGATTGAGTAAGACTTTTTGAAATAAAAACCCTCAGAATTATATGCCTTTTGTAATATCCTACACACACACGCACAGGAGTTTATATACCGATTGTCCCAAAACCTTTACCCACTTTTTCGGGTGCCCGAGAACGCAATCACGTTATTTCCTACTCCGTATTAAGTAAACGTGGGTCACAACAAGTTTTTTAGGGCAGAGGAAGTGTGTGTTTAGACATACGTAATACGGAGTATAACAGAAGGGCAGCAGAAACATAGTATAATACAGGGTAAAAGACAGTGAAGCAGAGAAAAATAGTCAAAAACAAAGATGTAAAAGAAAACACACAGAGTAACAAAAATGAAGTGAATAAGAGAAGAGAGAACATATACGGATATACCTTATATGAAACAAATTGATCTGATACCACTAATTTCATTATTATTATTATTATTATTATTATTATTATTGCAAAGTATTTATTAATTTTAGATAATTTAAGGGAATAAAAACATAGCAAAAACTTGACAATTGACATGTTCAAGCCAAATAATGAATCTATTAAAGGGGTAAACCAATTATAACAGCGAAGAAAAACATGATTAGTTGAACGAGGAATTTATGGTGTCATTGGTGTGTGCCAAAAAGCAAACCCCTTAAAACACGAATCATCTTTTCATGTCAAAACATTAGAATCCCACCCCAACATACCATCTTGTTCTATTTTTTCTATTTGGAGGATGTGAATACCATTTTGGAGGACTTTTTCTATTGAGTGTTTGGTATTGATTAGAGAGTAAGAAAGAGAGGTTGTAGCAAGCCATAGGTTTAGTACTGTTTATTACTACTAAATAACAATGTCTGGAATAGATCTACCAGCTTAGCTTTGAGATGAGTTAGTTCTTCAACTTTTTAACCTCTAAGAAAATCAAATTTAGATCATTCCAAAGAGCACAATAAAAAAATGAGTAATAAACAAATAAACAAAGAACAAAAAACAATAAATAAAGAGGGAGGAGTGCCCCCCTCCAACTGATTACAGTATTAATTCGATTCATTTTTCTAATGATTAATACATACTTTTTCTTTTATGTTTGTAATTAAATAAGAGTTAATAAACAATTCAAATGAAAAGTAGTATTTGATAAACCAATTAACATTCACCAAATAATCAATCATCGCCGAACAAAAGCAATTGTTCATCGAAAACATTCATCGGAAAAAAAATTGAGAGAGAAAAAAACATTCAATTAATCGGCAGCAAAAAGGAGAGGAATATATTAAAGAAAGTATATACCTAGAGGGTTCAGCCGCAGCACCATTAGCCAATTGGGAGGAAGAAGAAGAAGAAATGTATCTTCTCTTCCGTTCTCAACTCTCTGCGTTGCTTCGGTTTTCTAGTTTGGGCCGTCACTTCTCTTTCTTTTTAATTATTTCACTTATTTACATTGGGCCTGATTAATATATGGGCTCTATTTAATCTCTTTTGAAATATTTTGTCAGATTTTACATTTAACTTAAGTTTATTCTTGTGTTCAAGAGTTCTCTAAAGTAATTAACAAGGGTGTTAAGATTTGATATACTTTTATAGAGTAATTGGTTTCTTTGAATATTGGGTGTCAATGTAGCCAAAGGATCTTACTTTAAAAGACATCGAGTTCACGTGGTAAGTTTATTCAATTAGTCACAAGTGTGTTGTGGATGCCGGTAGCTATTAAGGAATGATGCAGATTGAAGTGGATCCATAGTCAAAATAAGATCAGTAATTTAGACCTTTTAATTACATTGCAAATATTGGGCAAGTTTGCAAATATTGCTGATTATTTTTTTAACAGGGGTATGGGGAATCATCTCTTTTTTCTATAGCTCCTCTTTAGCTCCTATATTTCACTTTAGCTTTCTATGTTTTATTATCTTTATCATCATGTGTGTGTTATATTAATGGTCGAAGTGTATCACAATGGAAAGTGTTTAAACATGTCGTGGATGAAGAGACATGTCACGATAAGCATAATTGTACAAGAACAACCCAGTAGAATCCCATAACGGTAGAGTTCGGGGAGCGCATGTGTACGCAGATCTTACCATTACTAAAAGTAAAACTATACAAAAAAAAAAGCTAAATTTAAAATTGGAAGTGTGTTTATAGCTTTTAGGTTTATCATTTTTGTATTTAAAATTTTCTTTGCATTGTTTATATCAAACAAATATTATGGCTTTGTGCCTTTGTGTTAAATATGTTATGCATATATTTAATATTAATTGTGTAATCATTGTATACATGTTAGTTTCCTTGTATAGGTTTCTTTCCGTAATTAGGACTCTACTGTAATTATTTATACGAGGCTTGGCCCTCCGTTATTATTCATAGAAAATAACAATTCTTCACTTTGTACTAAAAAAACAAATATGGCTTTTATGGCTTTTGTGTACTCTTTGTTGGACGATACTGAATGATTACGGAGTAATATATTTTTTAAAAAATACTCTCTTTAATGGTGTAAATTAGTAGATGGGATTTGCTATATAGACCAATTCTAAGGATGTTAAGCTAAGTCTAGAAATTATTATATTGTGGAGTATTCTAGATCAAGTCTAGAATAATATTTTCAAATTATATAGTGGAGTACCTTTAATAATTTTTAATACTTTTTATTAACTCGTGATAAATTTATGTTATTTTGAAATTATATATTAAGTACAATATACACTTTATAATAAACTTTAAATTTAATATTCTTTTAGGTTCTTAATTTCTACATTTTAGATAAATTATTGACCGTGCAACGTACGGGCCGGGTACGAATCTAGTATGACTAATGGGCAAATTGCTATTCCCTTGTCTTATATCTTTTTCTCATGTTGACAAGTGTGCTTAATGTTTTTAAACTTGATTATAAATCATGGAAAAGATACGTTGAATTACGGAGTATAATATAAATATAATATCAATATACTAATTTTGTAATATCATATTTTTATAATCTATATTTATATATAAATAGAGATTATTAATGGTTAAAGTATTTCATCAGAGACAATGCAAGATACGGAATTGAGGGAGCAGTGCATTGCATTTTAAATTATGGAGTTCTTCAAGTTTTTGGGCCCGTTGCAAGCAATTGGAATTTGTTAGAAGCGATTGGAAGGAGTTGGAAAAAAACTAGAAGATGTTGGAAGAATTTTGGGGTAAGCAAGTTGCTCAGTTAAATGATCATCTAAATAAATATATAATAGTATTCTAATTTTAGATTAAAAATTCAAATTCATCATTGTCCGTATTTGAGAAGATATTTATAAATTTTATATATTTTTCTAATTCATTTTATAGAAGGATTGATTTAAAAATAAAATTAATATACTCTGTATTTAGAATATATTAACATTTATGTTCGATTTTGGATTTTCGGTATGGAAAATTGCGGCGTAGCACTCTCAAATATCAAACCAACTAGTTGATTAGATGTGGTTCAATTCTTTGTGATATTTTTCAATTCAGTATACTCCGTAAATTTTTGAGTTTTTTCAAAATAATCAAGAAGAGTTCACTACTTGTAAATCAGTGAAAAAGTTCATACTCAGTTCATAATGTGTAATCAAGAAGTGGCGCATCTTTGCTACTGATAACACAACTCGTCCAACAATACAAATGCAGGCAAAAGTCTTCTTTCACGAAGATTTGAATCGATTAATAGGCCCCACGTGCAGTGGCGGAGCCAGGAGGCCATGAGTGGGGGGGGGGGGCACATTAAGAGGGTCCGGGGGCAGCGCCCCCATATTTTTTATTATTAAAAACACAATAGAAATGTTAAAAAATTAATAAATTTTCTCAAATATTCAAATACCCCATCCGTCCTAGAGTATTCGTTTACTTTAATTTTTTCGAGTCAAACTGTATAAACTTTAATCTTCAATTACTCTCAATTTGTATTGCTTATTAATAATATCAAATAAAATTTTGAAAATTCTAAACAAATTAAGGTTGCGTTCCGTTCGCCTGATATGATCTGATTTTTTAAAGACCTGGTCTGATCCGATTGTAGTTATAATTAAATCTGTTTCTGATCTAGTCTGATCTGATTATAATAAGAATAAGTAATAACCAGAAAAAATAAGTTGAACAAAACGCTACCTAAATCTAATAAAATCATGTTTATACTAATATATATTTTAGCTTTTATTACTTAACTGAGCTTCAAAATTTGTCCAACTTGACTTGAAAAAGTCAAACTAGATGAATACTCTGAAAGAGAGGTAGTAGTTCAAAACAAAATAATTAAATGGCATTATAATTAGTATGCGTAATAAAAAAATAATCTCTTTTTAAAGTGGGTATTCAACAATAATCTCTTAAAATAAGGGGAAAAATCAAATTACTCTATTACTTCGTAAAAAACAAACTTACATTTATTCACATAGAAACAAAAAATCAACAATAATTTACTTCGTATGAACTAAAGCATTAAAATTAAGAGCATTGAAAACAAATTACTCTATTACGTTTCACTAAGGCTTTTTTTCCCTAAGAGTACGGCGTCGTTTCACTAAGTATCTTTTAACTTTATTATTTTTAAAACGAGTTTAATGCACCGTTCCCCCCTATGATTTCTTAAATGTTCACCAGTGCCCCCTCTCCTTCTAAAACTTACTCCACCCCCCCCTCACTGGTTCCAAAATCTTACTCCATTGCCCCCTCCGTTTCTAAATCCGTAAATTTTAACGGAGCGTGAAGGAAATGCATTTGATATGCATTNTTCACTAAGGCTTTTTTTCCCTAAGAGTACGGCGTCGTTTCACTAAGTATCTTTTAACTTTATTATTTTTAAAACGAGTTTAATGCACCGTTCCCCCCTATGATTTCTTAAATGTTCACCAGTGCCCCCTCTCCTTCTAAAACTTACTCCACCCCCCCCTCACTGGTTCCAAAATCTTACTCCATTGCCCCCTCCGTTTCTAAATCCGTAAATTTTAACGGAGCGTGAAGGAAATGCATTTGATATGCATTTGGTAGAATATTTTCTCAGCTTTATTGCACCATTCCCCCCTGTGGTTTGCTAAATGTTCACCGGTGCCCCTCTGGTTCAAAAAAATTACTCCATGTACTTGAAAATTTGAGTGTGCACCATCTGTCATCTTTTTAAGAAAGCCAACATTATTTAAAATGAAAAACTCATAAAGAGTCTCCATTTTGTAAATGAAAAAAGTAAAATTTGCACTAAATAAGACTAAAACATAATGAATTTCCCAATGTAGGACTTAAATTTTTTTATTCCCTAAATAGGACTTAATAATGACCTAGTGGAAGAATAATGTCCAGTAATGATGGACATTTATTTGAATAATGACTACTTGATAATGACCAAAAGTTCTACATTGGGAAATAAAAACATATGGTCCTATATTGGGAAAGTCATTATGTTTTAGTCCTATTTAGGTAAATTACTCATGAAAAAAATCATAAAATCAAATGGTCAACTAATTTGACGTTATTGCTACAATATGTAAATGAAAAAGCTTCCATTATGTATATATCAAGAACATTTTCTAGACAAAATATCATTAAATGTCAAAACATTAAACTAAATGCTAGAGTATTGATAAGCAAAAGACCATTATCAAATAGTCACCAACCACAATCTGTCAAAGCTAAGGTTCTCACATTATAGACAGTGGACCAAAAAAAGCTACTTCAAAACTTCCCAAAACACAGTATCAAGATACTTAAAAATACTAGCAAAACAAAGTTTAAAGCTACAAATTCAACATTCTGATTTATATTCACTTTGAGTCTAGAGTTGTTGAAGTTGAAGCTCTTGGATTTGTTGATGGATGCGCTCAGCCTGGATGTGTACTAGGGAGACAAGTAGTCAATGCATTGCTCCTGGAACTGTTGTAGATCCTACCTCTGTGATGCAGTGCCTTTTTTAGCATTTATTGGTGCAACTCTTTTGGAAGTTTTGGGTGGTTTACTCACAGGTTGCAAAATATGCATGCATTTCATAGATGTATGAGAAGGATATACAACTGATGTCTGCACCTACAAAAATGTATATGGTAAGTTTACCTTAAAGAGAATATATTTAGCTTCATTGACAACGTGTTCACATAGGGATGGCAACGGGTCGGGTTCGGGTCGGATAGTACTATACCCGAACCTGACCCGACTTTTAAAACCGAAACCCGAACCTGACCCGAAACCCGACATTTTAAGCCAAAAACCCGACCCAACCCGAACCCGGCATTTCAATCCAAAATCCGAACCCGACTTTTAATCAATAATCAATTCGACGTACCCCAATAATTTTAAAAGGATTAAATCTAATTTTTTGTGTCTCTTTTTTGTGTCTCATTTTTAATTAAGGAATTATAAAAAATGATTAAATAATTAAGGAAAAATGTTCTTTTACCTGGTTGGTAAGTCTAGAAATTTGTGATTCCTGTGTTGGTGGGCTAGATGCAACTGTGTGGTATAACTGGTTGTGCCGGTTGCTTCCTTGTTCTGGTTGTGCTTGGTTGCTTTGTTTTGGTGCATTTCTTGTGGCTTTACAACTCCTTTCATTATGTCCACCATCCCCGCAAATTGAGCAATGCAGTGTTAGTCCTCTCCTAGTAGACTTCTTTTCATCTTCATGTTCTTCAGGTGTCTTTCTCCTCTTCGTTTTTGGCCTACCAGGTGCCCTCTTCACAGTAGGAGGGAGAAGTTGTGCATAAGGGGTTCTCACAAAGTCATGTGGACCAGGAACAGGGTGAATGATATTAGCATACACTTGATTGTAAGTCTCAACCTTATAGCAATCATCAACATAATTCTCAACTCTCTTCCTAAAGGTATTCACGCATGCCATTGCGTGCACACATGGGTAACCTGTGAGCTGAAAACATCTACAAGTACATTCTCTCTTATTGGAGTGTACTACATGTGTTTCCTCACCTCTTTTCACTTCATACTCTTCCTCACCCCATAGGTAAGAAACTATTTTGCAGCACTTTCATTCATTCGGTTCATCTTCCTCCTAATATTGGGGCACATGTTCCAACATAAGTTTTACTGCCTTCTCTCTTCACATGAAGCCTGCTCATGAGCTTTGACCTGATGTTTTCACACATGCTCACAATGGGTAGCATTCTAGCTTCTCTAATATAAATGTTAAAAGACTCAGAAATATTGTTAGTAAGGGCATCACATCTGATATATTCAGGGAAATGAGACCTAGACCAATATTTAGCTGGGATTCCATCCAGATACTCATAGGCAGATTGTGTGTTCCCCACTTTGGGATCAGCTCTCTTGATATCCTCCATTATTTCTTGGAAGTCCTCTTAACATTTGCTGTTGATGCAGCTCTCCAAAACAACTGTTTCAACTCCAACCCCGGAAACTTATTTCTGAAATTTTGATATAAATGTCTCACACAATATCTGTTATGAGCTAGAGGATACTCATACTTGAACACTTCCATTAACCCCTTTTGTCTATCAGATATATAACACCAATTCTTATCATTAGGATGTCCAATTGACATATGTAACTCTTTCAAAAACCAGGACCAATGTTCATAATTCTCTACTGGCACAATCGCAAAAGCTAATGGAAACATATTGTCATTAGAATCTCTAGCTACTGCCCATAATAGTTGCCCACCAAATGGGGACTTCAGGAAACATCCATCAATGCCAATAATTGGCCTACAACCAGCAAGAAACCCATCAATCAAGGCTGCAAATGTAAAAAACATTTTTTGAAAAACAGGCTGATTATCTTTGTTTCTATGTATGCCAATTTTAACCACACTACCAGGGTTGTGCTTTAGAACAGTAGCACCATAGTCCCAAAGTTTTTGATATTGTACTCCAGCATCACCATGTATCAACCTAAATGCTTCTCTTCTTGCTCTNCCTTCACATTACCATAGATCCACTTGGAGAGCATTTGTAGTGGCTCACCTGATATATCCTTCACGTGCTCCTTGATTCTATTACCTATGTACTTATATGTTGCAGCCTTGTTGTTGTAGCACCATTCACAATCGTGGATTGTATTCAAACTTTTAATCTGACATGTTGGTCCCTTCTGAATCCAAGAAGCTCTCACCTTCCATTCGCCACATTTTATACACTTCACAACAACCCTATTAGGATCATTCTTTTCAAAATGTAACTGAATGCCATGCCTTACCGAGTAGTCACGGATCACCATCCTGAACTCAGGAATGCTTTTGAACTTCAACTTGGGGTATAATATAAGATTTTCCATCTCTGCATCAGGTCTGTACTCAGGAGCATTCTGTTCTTCCAAGTTATCCAAGTCTTCATCTTCTTCATCAGAAAACCAAGACTCATTCAATGTGGCTTTTTTCTGGTTGACATGTTTCTTTTTTGGTGGATGCAACAATTGATATTCTCTCCTCTTCATTTCCACTAATTTAGCCTTATTAATCTTCTTAGTTGGCACCTCAACGAGAATATCTTCCTCATCAGAACCCTCAACATCTTCAAAGAAAAATTATGGGACATCTGCAAGCCCCTCCTCTGCTTCAAGAACTTGATCAAAACGAACATCATATGTATTCTCTTCATTATTGTCACCAACTTCTTCAACCTTCGTTTCGTTCACATCACCATCATTGTCTTCATTAAGAAGACCAAAGTCTTGAATCTCAACACCCCCCATATCAATATTACACACAATATCAATCATCTACATCAACAAAAAAAGAAAATAACCTATGAAAAAAATTACTCATATCAAATAAATCTTGAAATCAGATCACCCTCATTAAAAAAACCCTAATGTTACTATATAAAAAAAGAGATGCGATGAACCTAAATTAAACCCAATTTGTGGATTAAAGAACAATTCCACCGAAATAAAGAAATTAGAAAGAAATCATTTAGAAAGAAAGAAAGAAAATCTAAGAGAAAGCATACCTTTGTGGAGGAAACGGCGCATTAAGAGTTAAGACAGATTTGGGTGGAGGCTGTGTAATATCAACTAGGCTAACAGAGCTTAGTTCGGTTAAAAAAAGATTGTGCCGGCTAAAGGGGCATTAATGTAGGGTTTTTTAAAATGAAGGGGGAATGGAGTAAGTTTTAAAACTAGAGGGGGCACCGATGAACATTTAGGAAACCACAAGGGGGGACGCTGCAATAAACTCTTTCTAAAACACCTTTTAAAAAGCTGCAACTCATCTTCCTCAACAGAACAACGGAGTGGCGGACATCAGACTGGGGGCACGACTGGCGCATCTTCGTCGCTGGTACTTCGCCGGATCGCTGGGGAGGCACGTGCCTAGGCAGGCCCCCCCCCCCTCTCCTCCACCCCTGCCGGCCACGTGCAGGGGTCGGGCTTAAATCCCATGTTCACCAGTCCATACAAAGCGAATGCTGCCTCGACAAGTTTTCTTGATTCACAGAATCGTACCAACAGTTAGTTTGATGTGGCGTGGTGAGGCCAAAAGCCCCTCCTCAGCATCATCCCCAACAGCTCCATGGCCTTGTCCAGTTCACCTTCATTGCAAAGCACATTCAACACGATCCGGTAACATCCCTTGCTAAGGTATACTACCCCCTCCTTAGATAAGCTCTCCACTAAATGCAAAGCTTCATCCCACTTGTGATCATTGCACAATGCTGCAAGTATAATCCTAACTGCAACATCATCGGATATGCGACCGTTTTCTTTCATCTTCTCAAGCAAGTTTACGGCTTCATCAACTCTGCCGCACTTACACATGCAGTTTATAAGAACCGTATAGGAAACCGTATCATGTTTATTGAAATAACCCTTCATTTCAGTGAAAACCGCAATGCACTCGTCTAATCTTCCTAGCTCACAGCACGCATGCATCAAGGTTGTGTAATTAATGGAATTCGGTGGGCACCCATTCTTTTGCATGAAATCCAATATTCTCTTCCCTTTTTCGATGTCCCCTCCTTGACAAACCCATTTTATTAAGATGTTATAAGTCAGAGCATCAGGTATTATCTGATCTTTTGAGACCATTTCTTCAAACAAGTTGATTGCCTCTTGGATTCTTCCACACCGGCACAGCCCATCCATGAGTGTTGAGTATGTGATCAAGTTGGGATAAGATACTTGTGACTTCCTCATCTCTCTTTAACCACTTCAAACGCTGCCTCAAGATCTGCATTCCTGCAATGATGTTTGACAAGTATGTTGAAAATGCACGCGTTGGGCTCTAAATGGAGATTTTCACCGGCATGTAATAGAAACTGCTTAGCCATATGAATCTTGTTGGCTTCCACCAAGAGTTTGAGGCACGTGCTAATGGCCCTAAGAGTTGGCCTTTGACGTACGATTGGCTCAATTGCATTAAACGAATCCAGCACCTTTTCATGAAGAGATGACTTCGAGAAATGCTTCATTGGAACATTTAAGCGTCCATGGTCATGAGAGCCTTGGTAATCATCAAGACACCAAAACCGGAGGGTCACAAGCGTTAATAACTGCCACTACATCAACATATCCCTCAACAATGCTAGGATCATCAGGTTCACCCCCAGTTTTGAAATGCCGTACCCATGAACGAAGGAGACACCATTGCCAAATGCCAGAGGTTATGGTACTAGTATCCACATCAGACTGTATCACCATGCTCATACAAAAAAAATTGACCCAAAAAGAGAGTGAAGGTCAAAGGTGTGATGGTGGGAATAGCCATGCATATGTCCTTCTCCTCCACACAGGTCACAAGGTAGCCCGGGTGGTGAAGTCCATAAGCCACCACAACATCACCACAAGAATCTGCCCCCAGCCCAAACCGGCAACTAATATGGTTGAAACATAATTCAATCACCAGGGGGGGTTACTTCGAATCCATCCCTTTTGTGGTGTTGAAACATTGGAGCCCAAGGCTCAACAATGGTTTCCATTTCAGTTGATGTTCAAAAAGAAGGGGTAAAAGTGTGACTCGTGGCAGCTCAAAGTACAACAATTCCCATGACCAGCAAGGTTCAACCCCACCAAAATCAGTATTGGAACCCTGTACAACAGCCCCAGCGTGAAGACTCTCTAGCCATGCCAAAACAGAAGTTAGGTGCTGTCCAAAGAGCAAAATCCAGCGCAGTGATTTTGGGAAGTGTTCAGTGAAGTTTCTGGGCAGTGAACCAGTTGGTGAAGAAACCACAGTCAGCCCCAAAACTTCCGTAACCAAACCACAGCAAACAAAAGTCACCCGGTGCAAGGGATAAGGTTGGTCTGCCAACAACCTTTGCATGCCATCCCATCCCTCAAGAGATTGAGTTCAGCAAACAAACAGCACAAAGGAGTATGCTATTCGAAAATGGCAGCAATGAAAATCAAGAAGTGCCAACAGCAGCTTAAGGTGGCTGTCCAATGAAGTAGCCTAGCCAAACCCAGTGATGCCAATGCCCAGCCCTGGAGAACAGCAAAACATAGCCTAAACACCACAGGAGTTGGTTCAAGCCACACAGAAACAATTCCAAGTGGCTGGTTGTAACCCATTCCACTTAACAAAACCATAACAGCTCCATGAACAAAACCAGAGAACCTGGGCAGTCCAAATGAGAACCTGGGCAGCTCCATGAACAAAACCAGAGAACCTGGGCAGCTCCATGAACAACTTATATCATTTCAATCCTGTAAAAGTCACCAAACAAGCCATTCATATTTATTTCTTCCATTTTTATTATTATAGAGACCAGTAGCCAATTGATCTCAATATCCACCTTTTATCCGAGCCACAATGGATGGAAAAGCCTCACAAGAGACCAAACAAAAATTATTGGATATTAATCTCATCTTGCAATAAAAATATGAAAAAATTTCCACACAAAAAAGTAGAAATGAGAAGGTCAGACTGGAATCATATGAGTTGGCATTTGTGTTCAACAGAGGGAAAAAAATTTCCAAATGAGCCCCTCCTCTATTATGAACTTAAAGAAGTGGCACATCTTTGCTACTGAGAACACAACTCATCCAGCAATCAAATGCAGGCAAAAGTCTTCTTTCACGAAGATTCGAATCGATTAATAGGCCCAACGTGCGAGGGTCGGGCTTGAATCCCACATTCACCAGTCCATACAATGCGAATGCTGCCTCGACAAGTTTTCCAGATTCACAGAATCGTACCAACAGTTCGTTTGATGTGGCGTGGTGAGGCCAAAAGCCCCTCCTCGGCATCATCCCCAACAACTCCATGGCCTTGTCCAGTTCACCTTCATTGCAAAGCACATTCAACACGATCCGGTAACATCCCTTGCTAAGGTATACTACCCCCTCCTTAGATAAGCTCTCCCCTAAATGCAAAGCTTCATCCCACTTGTGATCATTGCACAATGCTGCAAGTATAATCCTAACTGCAACATCATCGGATATGCGACCGTTTTCTTTCATCTTCTCAAGCAAGTTTACGGCTTCATCAACTCTGCCGCACTTACACATGCAGTTTATAAGAACTGTATAGGAAACCGTATCAAGTTTATTGAAATAACCCTTCATTTCAGTGAAAATCGCAATGCACTCGTCTAATCTTCCTTGCTCACAGCATGCATGCATCAAGGTTGTGTAATTAATGGAATTCGGTGGGCACCCATTCTTTCGCATGAAATCCAATATTCTCCTACCTTTTTCAATGTCCCCTCCTTGACAATCCCATTTTATTAAGATGTTATAAGTCAGAGCATCAGGTATTATCTGATCTTTTGAGACCATTTCTTCAAACAAGTTGATTGCCTCTTGGATTCTTCCACACCGGCACAGCCCATCCATGAGTGTTGAGTATGTGATCAAGTTGGGATAAGAAACTTGTGACATCCTCATCTCTTTAACCACTTCAAATGCTGCCTCAAGATCTGCATTCCTGCAATGATGTTTGACAAGTATGCTGAAAATGCACGTGTTGGGCTCTAAATGGAGATTTTCACGGGCATGTAATAGAAACTGCTTAGCCATATGAATCTTGTTGGCTTCCACCAAGAGATTGAGGCACGTGCTAATGGCCCTAAGAGTTGGCCTTTGACGTACGATTGGCTCAATCGCATTAAATAGTTCCAGCACCTTTTCATGAAGAGATGACTTCGAGAAATGCTTCATGAGGTTAATGAATATACCTTCACGGAATTTACAAGTCTCATAGGACATCTGGTGAAGAACAGCATCAACCATCTCAAATCTTTTGCAAGCAGCCAGTTTATGGAGGATAATACCGTATGTGGCATTGTTGTGATCAAACCCCTCGTTATCAGAAACCATGTTGAAGATTTCCAGTGCATGCTGTGGATCATTCTCGCACCTTATTAATTTAATTGCCACTTCATGAGATACAAATTTCTTTTTCTTAATCTTAGGTGTTTCATTTGTGTTGGTAGAGGTTTCTATCAAGGCAGAAGCTTTTCTTGATGTCTGTTCAAGTTGTTGAAATGCAGACAAAGAGTGGAAGTATTGACTTATAAGAGCCCAATATTTCATCCGATTCATAAGGTATTCTCGATTAATGACAGAGGCTCTTTAGTTTAAGTGCTCATATTCACCACCCAAGTGTTCTGGAAAAAAAGCATATGCATAAATTAGTGATAAATCATTTTAGCCAATAAATTGAGACTAAATTAGTACATTTCATGAAACCAATCCCAATCATATAAAGTTTCACTTAGTTGTGCTAGCAACCAAGATTGCACATTCTAATGACACAAAAATAGTTCCAACCATCCAAGTGGTGCACAAGTGTGTGAAGGCATAAACAGATAAACACTAAATGGTAAAAAAGGCCATCCTCTGATTTGGAAACCCATAAAGGACACAGCAATCCCATAATAACCCCAATTCTGTCTGCTAGACCCTGGAATGCCTTGAGGCATTGCCTGCCAATGGAAAACTTAAAGGAAAACAAACAAGCAAACAAATAAATAAGAACTTCACTGAAGTTAGCAATTAGATGCTTGGTGTCCAGTATATTTAACACTTTTTTGGGTGCCCGAGAACGCAATCACGTTATTTCCTACTCCGTATTAAGTAATGAACACGTGGGTCACAACAAGTTTTTTAGGGCAGAGGAAGTGTGTGTTTAGACATAGGTAATATAACAGAAGGGCAGCAGAAACATAGTATAATACAGGGTAAAAGACAGTGAAGCAGAGAAAAAAGTCAAAAACAAAGATATAAAAGAAAAAATACAGCGTAACAAAAATGAAGTGAATAAGAGAAGAGAGAACATACACGGATATATCTTATATGAAACAAATTGATCTGATACCACTAAACATATAAGGATTTCATCTTTTCATGTCAAAACATTAGAATCCCACCCCAACATACCATCTTGTTCTATTTTTTCTATTTGGAGGATGTGAATACCATTTTGGAGGACTTTTTCTATTGAGTGTTTGGTATTGATTTGAGAGTAAGAAAGAGAGGTTGTTTTTCCAGGTCAACTATTCAGCATCACCCATAATAACCTTGATTTTCCCGGCAACAACGACAACCACCCCGTGCAAGGAAAGGAGAACTGCTGCGAGGACTAGGTCCCAGCAGTAAGTCGCTGGGAACTTTTCCACCTCCTCGTAGTCCTTGAGAATCAAATTAAATGTTGCGTCCATCTGGTCAATTGTCATGGCCTGAAAAGTGCCGAGTCTTTTTGTCCTAGCTATGAGCCTTTGGCGACTTGCCGCGGATCGTAGGTACCTCTTTTTAGCCGCAAGCCGCTCCCTACGACCGTCCACACAAGCAAAGCTAAAACCCAGAAAAAACAGACCCATAACCACATCAAAGCCGTATCCCCACATTACCCTCTCCCAGTGATTGGGGTGGGTAATAGCGGATGAAGCAATGAATATCAGTACCACCAAATACTGTGCGACGACCGTTCTGAAGTTGGAGACGGATTCCCTTGCAGCTTTCTTCCACTCCTGGACTTCCTTGTCCAACTCAGCCAGCTCTTTTCGAAACTGAATTACATCTTCAGAAAATTCCAAATCGCCAGACAGTAGATTAATGGAGGGGGGTGACTCCCAACAATGGGCGATTCCGCCAGCAAACCGACCAATGGCGGCGAGACCCCGAAGAAACAGTCCCCAAATCCAGCAAATCCCGCCCCAAATCCCGCCCCAAATCCAGCAAATTCCCCCCCAAATCCCGCCCCAAATCCAGCAAATTCGGCCCAAATCCCGCAAATCCCGCGACCAATTTGGTCGGCAACCCGTTCAAAAAATGACGGGTCATCCTCTGGTGGCTCGTACATCTGCCCGTTGTGGTAAGGGACCCCGCCATCCATTTTGGTTTAATAATACTCAGTATAATACGGAGTATAATATTTTTTGGTTTAATACGGAGTAAATGCCCATATATATACTCCGTAAGCCGTGGTTATCACCCATACGTGCCAGCCACGTTAACTTGAAAGCTCAGTGTTGTGGCAATTACGTTAACTTTGGATGCCCGGCTACTACACTTGGTACTTGGTAGACACTAGAGTTTCCAATCTGGTCAATAGGATTGGTTTTAGATTAGATTTTTTAAGTTTGGATATTTTTTAGATATATATTATAATCAGTTTGGTTTGGTTCGGATTAGTTAAATTTCAATTTAGATTTAATTCGGTTCTATAGATTTTTTGGTTCAGTTTAGTTTCGAGGCAGTTTAGATACGATTCAGATATAAATCAGTGTGGATAGATTTCGGTTCGGATATATTTTGGCTTCAGATTTAGTTCGGTTTGGATATATTTTGGTTTGGATATGTTTCAGTTCGGATATATTCTAATCAAATATGTTGGATATGTTTCAGTTCGGATATATATTTTTATGTTTTAATTATCAATGTTCCTTTTTATGTTTTATCACATTTATAAACCTATCATCAATTCAACTCCTATTATTTAATATATTTTTTCTAATTATACTATCTCTACCCTAAATAATATTCCTTTTTTGACATTTTAGTCATATTTTACAAATTTGGACTACAAATTATGAAAAAATATAGTGTATGTTTAATTATGATATAAATTTAATATAATTAGATTGATTTTAAAATTTAGTTTTGATATATCAAATTTTTCTTACATCTACTGAAATATTTATGTTTATAAATGAAAAGATAAAAGATAAATTTAGAAAGTGTTACGCTCCAATTAAATACAATTTGGTTAAATGGAGTGCAAAATTTATAAATTATTTTAGTGTATTTGATTAAAATTAGATAAAATTAAATTTAATAGAGTTAAATATAATTAATTTTACACCTAAATATAATGGTGTAGATCAAATTTAGATTTCATGATACTAAATACTGCCGCTAGGGAGCCTTTTTAAAATACTAACACTAACATCTAATATTATTGACTAATATTGATTAAATTGGTTTGAAACTGATCAAATTAACTCCCAAACTAATACTCCCTCCGTCCCTAAATAATGTTCCACTTTTGACTTTTTGAGAATTTAAGGGAAGGATATTTTTGTGTTGACTTTCCAAAAATATCCTTGATGTGATGTGTTAAAGTAAAATATGATAGGTCCCTCCGTCCCAAAATATTTACAACATTTGCTTTTTCGGTAGTGTCGGAAACTTTTGTTTATTTCGACGTTTTCATTGATTGTTTGATAAAATAAAATATTCTTGACACCTCTTATTTTGAAGAACTTTTCATGTAGTTTTTTACATGTAAATTTTATTTTTTATTTCTTTATCAATATGTAAATAAAATGAATTGAAAAAACTTGATATTTTGCCTCGGTAACACAAATGTGGCAAATAATTTGGGACGGAGGTAGTAGTAAAAAGGTATGATGTGATAGGTAGGGTATGAAAAAGTAAGGGGTAAAAGGGAATTTTTAAGGGAAAAGAGAAGTTTATTTAGAGACAAAGAAAAAATGATAGAGGAATTTTATTTAGGGACGGAGGGAGTAGAATTTATTGTAATTGGATTATATTACCCTGGAGTATGATAAAATCTAGTTATTCCATGCAATTTATCATATAATCCTTTCATCCCAAAAAGAATATCACACTCCACTATTTAAAAATTACGGAAATTCTATTTGTTTGTGTGTTATCATTTATTGTTTGATAAAATTAACTATTATTCTTGTAACATATTATGTATAACTTTTGACTTATTTTTTTAAAAAAATATTTAAACATTTTTGTATTTTTACACCAATCTTTAAATAAAATTTATTTAAAAAACTTGAAATTTTTACTTTCTTTTGTGTTATGTAGCACTCTTTCTAAGACGGAAAAAGTTTTGTCTTCAAAATAAAATTGTTTTAAATAGACTTTGTAACTTATAACTGAAATTACTACTTTATTTTTTAAATAATATCTAATCAAAGACTTGATTTTATATGTCTAATTTCCCCCTAAAGCTCAAAGTTTCCCTCATTCCTTTTACTCTCCTTAATCTTATCAATTTTTTTACGCTACCAATCAACATATTTCTCAATTCTCACTCCCCTTCAACTCTTAGACCTAATTTATTTTAATTGACGATTCACCTTATTTTTCAAATATTTTATTCTCTTTAATTTTGTTAATAGAAAAATAGTTGGCTCAATTTAATCATCCAATATTTTATCTGTATAACTTATCTTTAATTTATGAATATAATAAATTTAAGGCATGAGATTTTGAAATTTTTTTCCAAGATGGCAATTCCATTATGAGAGAATTAATAAGTAATGTAATTAGTTCAAATGATAAATAAAAGTAAAAATTTAAAAATACAATATGCTTATTGAGAGGCAAACATAGTTTCAAATGTATCGGGGTTAGTTCTAATCGGGTTCGGATATTATCGGTTTCGGAGCTAATCAATTTTGGCCTTTATCAGTTTCAAATATTATCGGTTTCGGAATCAGTTTCGGATTTGATCGGTTCAGATATTATCGGGTTCAGATTTAAATCGAATATGAATTATTTAGTTCGGTTTCAGTTCGGTTCGGATCATTTCGAGTTTTCGGTTATAGATCAAATCTTCATTTTTTGGATCATTTCAGTTTCAGTTTCAGGTAATTCAGTTCGGATAATCAGTTCCGGTTCTCTATTGCCAAGTCTATTAGCTACTACACGTAGGCACCTAAGTGTTATTTACACTTTTCTCTTTTATTTACCCCATGTAACTTATTACTCCGTATTGTTCTTGGTTTGCCTTTTTTTTTTTCGTTTTGTCTTTTTTTTTAAAATTTCTATCAGATCTTCACTATTAGTTCAGAATTTTCATTATGCTACATTCATATTGTTTAAAAATTGATTTAATCAGATTGTAGTTATATTTAAGTGTTTCAAGTGATCCGATATGATTTTAATTACAATAAGTAAAACATAGAAAACATATAGTTGAACAAAATGCAAAATAAGTTGAACAAAATGCAACCTTACACTGGTTGATCAAAATATTTCTATTGAATTTTATTAGAATATTAGTTTTTAAAAAATTTTAAAAAAACATAGATACTTAAAAATAACAATAAAATTGTACTCTCTCTCTCTTATGATTATTTTCCTAATTTTTATTTGGTTGTTACATAATTCTCTTCCACAAACTTTTTAAAAACAAAGTCATGTGGTTCAATTAATTTTCTTTCAGCTACGCTGTTTGATCAAAATATTTCTATTGAATTTTATTAGAATATTAGTTTTTAAAAAATTTTAAAAAAAACATAGATACTTAAAAATAACAATAAAATTGTACTCTCTCTCTCTTATGATTATTTTCCTAATTTTTATTGAGTAAATTACTCAAATAGGAGGTAAAGACAACCGTTTTCCGTGAATAGGAGTCCTCCTATGCTTCTTAGTTTCCGGCCAAAGGAATAGTCAAAAATACCCTTCCATGAGTCTTTAATTATTTTTCCATTATTTTAATAAATGAAAAGCGGATTACGGGGAATCGCGAGAAAAGCGGCGCTGTTTTGGTTTATGAGTGGCCGATGGAGTTACCATGTAGAACTAGGCTCCTACTGCATGCTGGTCAAGAGTCTTTCTCATAGTACATCTAATTGAATTTCCGTTTGAGGTAGGGTTCAGTATTATCTGCGTGCATCTGTTCGAGAAACGATGACGACCAGAAGCGCAAGTGCGAGGAGGATGTCTAGCAAAGCGGCTGGTGATGATGATGATGATTTTGTGGACGAAATCCCAATTATAAAGACTACGAAGCTAATGAAGACAACAGCTGGGCGGGTGTGTATTTTTCTAAATCATTTCCAGTCGGTGTCGGTTTAATTTGTTGAAATAGACCTAATTTTGGGGAAGGGTTAATGCATGTTTGATGTTTGTTTTAATGACTTTGGATGATTTCTTCTTAAATGTGTGGAATTTGTTGATGCGTGTAATGACTTTGAATAATGACCGCTAATGTCCGGGTAAATGTCTGAATAATGACTGTGAGCGTTGAGTGTTTCATTTTTTGGGATTAGGTTGGTGCATGTGTGCTGTTTTGGCAATTATATTGAGTAATGCCTTATTAATGTCTGTTTAATTGTATGGGTATTGTACTGATTATTGAATTTGAGTGTTTGGTGCTTCAAATTTGGGAATTGGTTGATGCATGTGAGGAGGTATTATATATTTTTCTTGAATACTCGCTGATTAATGGTGGATTAGTATCTGATTAGATGACTACTGTGACTGTTTGCTGATTCAATTTTGGGAATAGTTTGATGCATGCGAGGTGTTTGATGTAATGACCTTGACCGTGAGGTGTGTGTTGGGTTGGTAATTCATTAGTTGAGGACCTCACAATACATTTTAGATTTGAAAGCTTTTTAGGTGTTGGGTTGCTCTGTGAGGGAAGTTTTTTTTATTGTGTCTGGGTACTATGGTCCTTGTTTATAAGTCATTATTCATAGTAATGATCTGATGTAATAGACATTAATCAAGTATTATTTAGAGGGTGAGTTGTGTGATTTTTGGTGACTTTATATGTATGTTTTTGTGAGTTAGTGACCGAAGCTGTGAGGTGTTTTAAGGGTGTGTAATATGTTAGTTGTTAACCTAACACAACATTTCAGTTTTTGGTCTTTATATTATAACGCATAGTATAATGACCTTGGCTCTGCGAGGGCTGTTTTTTTGTTTGTGGTACAGTTTTTTTTGTGAGTTGTGTAATATTGTGAGGAATTTCTGACTTTATGTTTTGTTAATACAACACAGGTTTACAAAAGGATGTGTGATGAAGACCTATTGGTTGGGAAGACTGGGGTGAAGGTTACATGTTTTTGCAATGTATGGGTTGGGGCAAAAATTGTAGAGGGCTTAGTCAGTGCTGCAGATTTGCTAGAATTGAAGGCATCTGCGTTTGATACAATTAGTTACACTGGAAGAATGATGCTTATTGATGTGAGCTTTTTTGCACTGGGCAGTTTGTGTACTTAAATGGAACTTAATGTGTTAGGTTATTTTTGTAGTAGAATTCTAAGATAAGATAATGAAGTTGAAAAGTTGAGGAGATATGTTGGTTTTCAAGTGGTATATGTTTGGATCAGGTTTGTTTAGGATGCTTCGCAGAGGGCTAAACATGGTGTTTTTTTTCACTTGTGACCTGTTTAATCATTATTGTGTGTCAAATGACTATGTGAGGTGGGGAATGAATTATTTCCCAATGACAAATTGAGTATTAGAAAGAAATAAAATAAGACAAACTAAATGATCGAAAAAATGAATCTCTGAACATGTAAAAAAATGAACCAGAAATGGGACAAAACTAATGGACATGCTGGACCAAGGTTCCCTGGAATGTTGTGCTTCCCATACGTCTTCCTACGGAAGTCAAACGCGACTTGATGAAATGGGATTCGCACAGGTCTTTCTATTATGTCCTGATGATTTGCATCGTGAGAAGGTTTGCCGCTTTGCATGTTCACTTTTCGACGATATCCTTCGTTCTTTGGTCTCCCTGGAGGTCGTTTGGAGCACGATGGTGGTCTGCAAACAGTTTCAGCAACCTCATCAGGTACAATCCACGAATCTTTGGAAGGGATTGGGTGTATGATTCCACTATACGTAGCTCTCTAGGAAGCAGCGGTGTAGAATGATGAGATGTAGTCATAGCACGAAAATCATGGCGACAACGAGTCGCAGCGACTGAATGAACACATACAAAATGGTCCAATTGGAATTCGCAGCAGGTACATGTGCGATTCTGAAAATTCACAACAAACGACCGGCAGTTCTTGTCAAAGACAAGGAACTCAAATGCACAGGCTGGTCTAATCTGCAAAAAAATTAATGACATGAGTATAGGTTCTTAATGACTGCGAAAGTAGTTTATGTGTTACATTAAACAAAGCCGAATGGGGGGGGAATTTAGACACGGGTTGTATTTATAAAGACAATAAGTTTTACTTAGTTTCATAGCGAAATAATGGAGGACTCGTAATAAATTCGTATAATGACTTGGTTTTTGCAGGATAGTCATTACGTGTAATGACACGTGATGACCACATTTTAAGGGTTTTACGTGTGATGTCATTATTTTGAGTATAGTGAATAATATAATGACCACATATTAATGAAAGACAATGATGTTAAAAAGTAAACTTTGCATCAATTAGGACTAGAACATAATGACATTCTCAAAGGTAGAACCCAAATTTATTTATTCCCTAAAAAAGACTTAATAATGACCTAGTGGGAGGAATAATGTCGAGTAATAATAGACATTTTCTTGAATAATGAGTGTACACATTATGCAGTGTGGACATTAAGAAGGAGCTGAGTAAGATACTGTAATGACCATGTATCAGACATTAACTGACTGAGATAACACTGGAAAATGAACTGAGAAAGCATATAATGTCCATGCGAGTAGATAAATACCGTGCATAGCGAAAAAGGACACTTATAGACCTGTTTTTTAGATTGGCTATTGAATGACCTAAAAGTCCTATTTTTAAGACTTTAAGAAACAATAGTATAATGACCAGTATATTAGGAGTAAAATTAAACCCATTGGTTAAACACCATAAATACACCCATTAGACAGTAAATATATGGGAAATAAAGACCTAGAAGATGGCATTGACAATAACACCTCAAGTATGTGGGAAATAAAGAACAGTAGCATGACATTGGTGAGAGAAGTAGGAAAATGGCATCGACATTAACACCCCAAAACCTGGGAATAGGAAAGTTTTCCGCTAAATGTTAAAAACAGTAGTACGCACCTACGAATCTGGAACATCTCAACGCCGGGTAAACGCACAGCCCGAACAGCCCATTGGCAACGAGGGAAGTCAACACACACAACATGCAGCTCGGATTTTTTGGAAGTTCTGGTCCGGTACTGGAAACAGTCGGAAATTGCAAGCATCTTCAAATGATAATCGAGGTCCATTTTGCTAGAGTATATGGCACCAACGACAATCCTGGTTGGATCAAACCGAGATGTAACATGCATTTCCTTCAATGAGTCAATTTCTTGCTGGGACATCACATAACCAGACGGATTGGAGTCAATAGAATTTCAGGAAACCAACTCTCTATCATGGTCATTATGCATAGAAATCTCGTCTACATTATAGGTGACAAATAATGACTCCTTAGACAAATCACACTGTGATGAGATGTTGTCTCGGCAGATAGTGGTTTCGTTTCCTAGAACATCACGCATTGAGCCATCCGAATCAGTTTCTTCCTGGGTAGTTGAGTTTACCTCACAATCATAACCTGGTAATGTCTGCAGACCTTCGGTGGGGACTGAATCAGACACGCCCATTTCTGTGAAATGATACACTTCCACACACAAAGGGAATTCGCGTAAAGAGGGATAGGTGCTCTTCAAACGAAGGTAGGCGAGAAGGCTCACATCATCTTCAATGACGACATGCCTTGAGGATGAATTAGACATATACGAGATCTTGAAAACAGAATTTTCATAAGAAGACGGGACCGTATTACGAACCAGTTCCAGAAAATCTTTAAAATGGGTCTAAATCGGAATGTCAATCTCATAAGCATATGTGTAAGAAAAAACATCATTACCATCTCATTCGCCATCAAATTGCAGGAGAAGGTGGATGTTCAGAGGTGTGGATGAACCCTCTGCAAATTTTGATATAGAAACCAGTAGTGAAGAAAACATTGTGAGAGAGGAGCGCGAGAGGAAGAGACTAACTGAAAAAACCAGAGGCGGCAGAGACATGAGTGAAGGAGGGAACCGAAACATGGGTGTGCGAGGAAATAGGGTAACGGTTACTAAAGTGATAAGGATGTGGAGTTAATTACTCACCATTATGATTTAATAAATTTAATAAAAAGAGTGATAGGGAAACGTGGGAAAGGGGCATTTTAGGGTGTGCGTTCCAAATTTACTCCTAAAAAAAGAAAAAAAAGACACAAGTCCTATATAAGGAAAACACATATGTTTAGGTCCTATATGTAACAAATTTTACATAATTCTCTTCCACTTACTTTTTTAAAACAAAGTCATGTGGTTCAATTAATTTTCTTTCAGCTATACAAATTACAACCACAAACAATTAATTTTATTCAAGATTGTATCAAGTTGAATAAAGAAGACATTGTGAAATAATGGAGGGTTAATTTTTGTAATGTAAAAAGAAAATTATTCTAATGTCAGCCATGAGAATATGTAATTGAGGATTTTGGTAAGTTATTATTAGTCATTATAAAAAACTCTCATTTACGTTACAGAAACCAATATGACCCTTTTGCAAAAAAAAAGTTCCTACTTTGAACTGAGGCAAAATAAGAAAGTTTAAATTATAATTAACTTCCAATTTTGCTCTTGATGTGATAAGTAAAAGTAAGATTTGATGAATAGATTATTAAAGAAAAAGTATGATGTAATAAGTACACTATGAAAAAGAAAGGGTAAAGTGGCTTTTTAATAGAAAGTGAAAGTGTTTTGTTGGAAGTGAAAAAATGAAAGAGAAAATATTTATTAGAACGGATAGAATAGAATATTTATGTAGTGTCTAAAATTTTAAATAATAAATTTATGCCATATTTTAAATCAATTTAATTCAAAACAACTCTAGTTGTTAAAATTCCGGTGGGCCGATAACAACGTATAGAGTGTCGGGTAAAATTAACCACTTGCATATAAAGTCGGGATCCACAATTCTAACCCAAAAGCTTAAGCTGATAGGTAGGGCTTCACCCTTCAATATATGCAAGTGATACTCATCTTTATTTTCCGATGTGGGAACTCCAACACTCCCCTGCAAGTGGTAACTAGCCTGGCCTAGTTAGCACTTGGACAAACAGGTCTAGCATCTCAATCTCTTATAGCTAGCCCACACAACGGGCGGTGTCATCTCAATCTCTTTTTAGCCAACTCAGCCCAAACCACAGACGGGGTAGCTCATTTTTGCTAAACCCACATCCAAACAACCAGGAACAATCAAACCCGGACCGGACCTGCTCTGATACCATGTTAAAATTTCGGTGGGCCGATAACAACGGATAGAGTGTCGGGTAAAATTAACCACTTGCATATAAAGTCGGGATCCACAATTCTAACCCAAAAGCTTAAGCTGATAGGTAGGGCTTCACCCTTCAATATATGCAAGTGATACTCATCTTTATTTTGTAGAACTTTTGACGTAGTTTTTTAATATGTAATTTTAATATCTTAATGATATACCAATTTGTAAATAAAATGATTTCAAAAAGTAGAAAATTTTACTCTGTAACTCGCAATTTGTAATAAAAATGGAGACGGAGGGAGTAAGTTTCATTCCAAATTTAATACGGTCAAGAAAAAAGAGAAAGGAAAGAATTGTGATAATTAATCCATGGGAATTACTAGATTTAAAGAAGGCAATTACGTGTCTATTTAATACGGAGTACATATTGTTTCTATGTGAGTAATGCTAAAGTCATAAACAAACTGTTCACAAAATTCATAAACTTGCTTTTTAACACTTTCTTGGAAATTACGGAGTACATACAATCAAATACGGAGTAATAAAAAATATTTTATTTTAAAATCCTCAAAAAAAAAAATTGTGAACTAGAGTATATGTTTGCACTGTGAGTCTAGCATTACTGTTTTCCATTTACATATACAAGTACCCTTAAAAAACGTGCACTACTTTACATTTTTATTACAATGCATTATTTACTTTTTATGTAAAGATTTGAAAAAAAAAAAGAAATATTGGTAGAGTGCATCCCACACCGGAAGTTCAAGAGTAAAATAACCGGTATATAAGCTCTTGAGTTGGACTAACTAATCGATTGGATTCAATCTTTTAATGTGGTTCAACCCAAGTGTCTTATTGCCCAATCCAGTTGTTCATACCCATCCTAAATTTCTATCATGGTATCAGAGCAGGTTTTGGCCCACCTCGTTTGTCATGGTGTCCGTCTAGACGTTCAACCCTAGCGGCCCGTTTGTCTTTAGCCCAGTTGTCCATATGGAGTATGTACCCAACGGCTTGTGGCCCGTTTAACACGATTGCTCGTCTGGAAGTCCATACCCAGCGGCTCGTGGTCCTTTAGGTGTTGGCGCTCAAAACAAAAGTCAAGGGAATGGGAGTTCATTTGCAAGTGGTCAACTGGTTAGATTCAAAATGGCCCGGTTGTCCACTTGAGGGGGAGTGGTAGAGTGCATCTCACACCGGAAGTTCAAGAGTAAAATAACCGGTATATAAGCTTTTGAGTTGGACTAACTAATCGATTGGATTCAATCTTTTAATGTGATTCAACCCAAGTGTCTTATTGCCCAATCCAGTTGTCCATACCCTTCCTAAATTTCTATCAAATATATTCTCAAAAATCGTGTATTATTTTCATTCTTACGTTTTAAAGTATTGAAAAAAGGAAATTTAGTTTAAAAGAATCGTACATTATTTGTAATGTGTATTATGTATATGCATAAATTGCATATTTACCTTTTATACTTTTATAAAAAATTTTACTTTGAAAATAGTATCGTGCAAAATTAATAACCTCTATTTATTATTTCAAAAACAATTGTGTATGGGATGTACTGTTAAGAAAAATAATTTTAAACTGTGTCAGAAAATTGTGAAATATGGAGTATTATATTGATGACATATTATTAGAGGTACTATATTGAGGATGGTTCTTAAGGAAAGCTACCATATTGAGGACCGCTTACATTCGAAATCACGTTGCATGATTGAATATTTTTATTATAAATACTCACGTCTATTATATACTACCTCCCTCCCAGAATATTTGTCCACTTTCATTTTTGCATACCATCCAATGCACTTCTTTAATCCATTTTATCTTGTAATTTGTATATTAAAAAATTATAGAAATTATATATTAATAATCTATATGTTAAGACAAATCAAATAAGATCACACATGACTATATTTAGGCTTACACATTGAGAGAATTTGATGAGTCAAAGTACTTAGATGAACAGTTCCAAAAGTTAAAAGTGGACGAATATAGTGGGACGGAGAGAGTACATAAAAATACAATCAAAATTACCTAATGATCAATTTTCCCGCCAAAATCATAAATCAATGGCCCAATTTTACTTATAAAAATTGATGAAATCCTAACCCTAGATGACAATCAAACGGCCCAATTTCAATTTTCTAAATCTTATACTCCGTAATTCATACTTTATTTAACAAGAAGTAAAGTTAATATTACGTTTTCCCATCCAAAGAGTATAACTATTACATATGGTAATGTGAAGTTAAAATGATAATTAATAGAATGATACGGAGTATTAAACACGCAACTAATGAAATCTAATTATTGCTTTTGTGAATCGTGGCTTATTGCTCAATTCGTGGTCTATAAATGGACTATAACTACTCCGTATTATATTTGAAAAGATTAAAATGGAATGTGGACTATAAATGAAGTATAGCTATTAATTTGGAAAGATTAAAATGGACTATAATGAAAAACAAGGTAATGATTCGCCTGTTAATTATATAACTGTGTCATTTTTATTAACCGTGACATTTTTATTATAAATCAACCAAGGTACATAAGAAATGATACGTATAAATAATGAAATTGTTAAGTATTTAAATATGGTAAGAAATTAAAGTGTCTGAAATTATAGTAATATAAAATATAAAATGGACTATAACTTTTGTAAGAATTAAATATCTTTTAAATTTATATATTTACGGTTAATAGTAATAATGATAATAACTAAGAAAAATTAACTGACATTTATATTCCATTTTATATTAATTAATACTGTAAATTTGGAACGCAAAAAATGAATAACCAATCAAGCAAGGCTATTTATGTTTAATAGCAAGAAAGGTTATAATAACCAAAAAATGAAATAATTAACAGCCATTTTTAGCCCGTGCACGAATTATTGGTAATATCCAAAAAATGCTTAAAAATGCAAATAAACATTATTATTATGTCACTAGTATTTCATCCGTGCGTTGCACGGGAATAGAATAATTTTACAATTTAAGATGAACTTTATAAATAAAAGAGAAATCTAAAAACTTTAAATGAATAATATTTAAAATATAATTTTTGTATAGCCGGTTATATCCCTAAATAGTAAAAATATATGTCTACCTATGTGAGCATTTTTTATACATTCTAAATTTTATCAGCAATACACATGATAGAAGTATACTTTTTTGGGAAATTATCCTTTTTTGTCAATAATACCGGAGTAATTCAAGATATAAATAGATATGTATTGATTTTGTGATTCATTACATTTTGCATCATATATAAAAATCAATCTCCATTAAAAGTTAACATTTGATATGCTTTGTTATGAAAAATTACAGGTTAATCTTATATTAATTACTACTCCGTATGTAGTACTCCGTATTTACTAGATGTTTCATTTTAATTGTTTCATTTCATGCATAAAATATTAGTTTCTACATTCATGCCATGCAAGAGAATGTATTTTCTCCACAACTCAAGATATAAATTAATATCAATGATTTGAGTTGATATAAATTAATATCAACTCAACATAGATGGAAACAAGATATGACAAATTTAATGACCCCATATCTAAAATTGCAAAATGAAGGCAGGGGATGTTGGTGAAGAGAAGCAGGGAAAACACCTTAAAGAATACACTGGTAAGGTATTTTTCAAATGCATTTGTGGTTAATAGCATTGTACTAACATTTCACTTTTAACCGTGGCATTATTATATAAAAAAGCATCCTACTTTACATGAGTATTTGTGTTTAGGAACTTAAATACTTAAATATACTTGTCCCAATTTAAAACTTCCAACCCATTTAGTTCATATCAATATGTTTTGTCACTTGAGTGAAACAAATTATATGTACTGACCCTAAAAATAGTGATGTGTATCAGAATATTCTAAAATGTTTCATAGATTGCTGACCATGTAGCAAACCAGTCAGCTTAAATATGAATTGTAGGAAAAGGGAGGAGAGCAGAAAATATACCAAATTTAGCTTTAAAAATATCCAAAATTTGAAACTGTAAGGGAGGGTAGCAGAAAATTTTCCAATCTTACATATAAAATTTGTCCAGAAACTGAAACTAAAGGAGGATAATGTGAGCTGCAGTCCAAGTTCTACAGCCCGATTTTTTAAAAACAAACCACAAGAGCAATTAAGGTTTTGTGAATCTCAAGTTAGTTTAAATACCATCAATGTATTCTTCATTGTAAACAATCCAACCTTAAATGCAGCTTCAAATTGGTCACATGGTACAGTCTCACACATTGGATATGCTTTAAGTGCAGCTGCCTCACCATATGTCCCAGGAATGCCCTACACCAGGCAATACAAATGAGATTATGAAAGTGTGTATAGAATCATCAATTTTAGGGGGGGGGGGAGCACCGGTTAGAAAAAGTAGGATATAAGCACATACAGGATTAAGATAAATGCAAGCCGTGTAAATTGAACATAAAAGAAAGTTTGTATACTAATGTGCAGTTCGAGATTGTGAAAACTCGGATACGTGGCTGTTTAGTAAAAGTGTAATATGTGCAGTTAATTGTCTTGGTCTTGACTGTTCTAGCTAATTTTTGTACATAAGCATCCATTATCCCAAAATACCCTTAGAATGCCATATCAAGAGTGCATAAGAATTACCTGATGGGCAACCCGAACCTTCGAAGCATCATTAGGATAAGAATAATAATCGGCTGCCGACAATGATTCTGCAATTGGAGGCATTGAATTTAAAACCTGAAAAAAAATAATGCCTGGGTTCTTTATTGTGAGAAGTAGCCCGCCATCGGCAAAATCAAGATGACGATTGCAACGTGATTACATTCTTTGCAGTAACTGAGCACACAATAACATAGTTTCTACACACCCAAAAAGAGGAATTTGGGAGGTACAGTGTCAAAGACAGTGACGAATAAGAAAAAATTGTCAATGACAGTTCAGTAAGCCAAAATGTGGATACTTGTTGAGGTAGTAAACAGATTCACACTAACACAAGCGGGGTGGATTTGTATTTTTCATTTTTGGAGGCAGTCTTATTCATGTATTTCTTTTTCCCGCGCTCCATCTTATTTCTTCAAAATAACATATCAAACTTTCTTAGTTTGTCACTTCAATGAAGGTTTGGCATCAAAGATAAAAAAGAGCTTATTTTTAATTTGGTCCTTAAGTCTCCAACTATATTCGTAATTGTTTTTTTGGGGAAACATGTGAAAATCATTTCAATCTGAATCCTAAAAAAAATATAAAGAGAGATATAATCATGTTTCAAATGAAATAAGAGTAGAACTTTTTTAACTTAGAAAGCAGGCAGTTTATAAACAAAAAAAAAGTGATTTCTTCAGAAGGGATGCAAGTTCTGTTTTAGAAACCTGATTATTCAATCCACAGACATGAAAAGATTAATTTCACTCAACAGTAAATTTAAAGAGAAAAAGATACACCGTAAGAAAAAAAGGACAACATCTTTAGGGCAAAAATAGAAAGCAAATACAGTAACACTATGTTTGGTTCAAGGAATTTGAGAGGGAAAAGAAAAGAAAATTAGAAGGAAAATATTTTTCTTGTTTGGTTAGAGAGGAAAGGAAAAGAAAAGTGGAAGGAAAAGAAAAAGAGAAGGCAAAATGTACTAAGAGGAAGGAAAACCAAATTCCTCCCATTTTGGTGAGGAAAATGAGAGATAACCATTTTCTTTTCTTTTCCTACCAAATTCCTTGAACCAAACATAGTGTAAAACTTTTCAATATTCAACATCTGAAAACCGTTCAAAAACATATCCCTAATAACTTTTGTTGAAAGCCATATAATTACAAATAAAAGTTAAGGACCCTATTAAATTCAGTTTTTTAAAGACTTTAGAAGATAATGAATCTGTTTACATTTGAAGGAGGAACTAAGTTTGAGCAAATGACACTCTATCCATTCTGCATGCAGTAATAATTTCAAGAACATTTTCATTACAATGTGCATTGAATTCGAACAAATTTTGAAAATAAAAATTATTTTATAATTTTATCTCTATTACTATTTGTGATTACAAATCAAGAAAACCCTAGCAATTGATTGATTAGTGTATGGACACAAACAAAGCCCAAAATTGTTTTGAGGGGAAGCTACAAAACTGTTAAACAGAATAAATATGAAATTAAAATGGAGATATATAGGAGTATAAATGGAAAGAAGATAAATTTGAATCCTAATATATGAAAGAAAAATAAAGAAATTGATGCTGAAACTTGGATGTACCTTATCTACTGCGTCAATCCCGTGAAAGATGATGAGCAATTGATTGAACTCCTGCAACGATGACCTCCACCTTCTACATCTTACACGAGCTGTAACGGGTTGTCCATCTTCAAGGACCGATTCATCTTGTTCGGATGTAGGGTATTAACCGATTATCTTCAAGGACGGAATGCGGTTGAGAGCACGGGCTGCACGACACTTTCAATCGGCAGCGGCAACCGGGATCGAAGAAAAACCTCAGGTAAAACTCTTCTAGGGGCACCGGATCTTCCAGGCCCTTCTCTTCATTTTCTTTTGATTTATGGAATGAATTTAACAGCTTATGGGTACCCTTAGTTTTGTACTCCGTAATAAAGACTATCGTGTACCCTCATTCTAAAAATATACTACTAGATACTTCTGATTATTCTAAAATGAGTAAATTTTTTAATTAGTCCTTTATAACAGGGTAGTTTCCATATTTAGTCCTCTATTATCAAATATTACCCCGTAGTCCTTTTTTTAAGGGTACCTTTCCACAAATGGTCCCTTTTTTATCTTCTGCCGTGTTGGTGCTAATTTAAAGACTAAAAATATAATTTGACGTCAACATTATGTCTAGTGACGTGTTCTGATATTGGTTAAGAGGATAACACAAAAATAATGACTATGATTGTGGGCTAGGATTTTGACGAAAGATCACATTTGTAGACTATAGTTGTCGTAAAAAGCGACTATAATTCACAAACGACGCAAACGGAACAGCCTTTGGAATTGTGTATGACAAAAAAGATATATTATCATTGTGAAATTACACTTTTAGCCCTCAAATTAACACCAACATGATAGAAGATCAAAAAAATGACTATTTGTGAAAAGGTACCCATAAAAGTAAGACCATTTGGGTAATATTTGATAATAGAGGACTAAATAGGAAAACCACCTGTTATAAAGGACTAATTATAGAATTTACTCTTCTAAAACTAACCAGGAGGAGATCTTTTAGTTTTTATCCATTCTTCAATTCTTCCGTTTGCTCCGTTAATTTCTTCACCAGTCACCATCATCTTCTCCTCCTCCTCCTTTTTCTCTCCCTTCCCGATTCTAGACCCCCCCCCCCACCATTCCCCCTTTCTTATTTTTCTATTGTTATAATTAATTACTTATTATTAAAATTAATTAGTAGTTTTACTGCTCTAATTCTAAAAAAATACTAATGCTCCACCAATCTCCACTTGAGTAAAAAATTAAAATATTTTAACTTTGAGTAAAAAATTAAAATATTTTACCTTTCTCAATCTCCACTTGAGTAAAAAATTAAAATATTTTAACTTTGACTTCCAATTAAATAAAAATGATCTTAGATATTAATACTAATATGAATTGATAAAATTTGACTTCAAATTAAATAAAAATGATCTTAGATATTGATACTAATATAATTTTATTAGATTTATTATATAAAACATTTTCAAAATATTATTTTATCTAATTAATTTACAATATATATATTATTTAATTATAAGTCAAAAGTTGAAAAGAGTTGACAAAAAAGAGTCAAAACTGGAGAAATAATCAGGGACAGAGGTAGTAATAGTTATTATTAATATAGTAGTTATTATTATTATTATTTATTAATTAATAGTTTTACTACTATAATTTTTTAAACAAATACTAATTTGCCCGCCAAGAAAATTGTACCCCATTAATCTTTCCATATCTCCACTTGAATAAAAGGAGACTAAAACATTTTAAATCTTTAGCTGAAAATTAGTTTTTGTGATGTAGTAATGTATAATTTATAAATTTAAAATGATTTACTATGATATTTATTTAGTTATAAATTATACTCTGTCCTAAATTCATTTACGTTATTCAAACAATGTGTAAAATTTCATATTTTTAAATAAGATTTTTCTTTAAATTGATATAAAAATAAAAAATATGAATTACGTGTTATAAAAACTATCAAAAGTTTTATAAAATACATGCAACAAAGATATCTTATGTTGTCAAATGACTAATGAAAATACATTAGTAAATAAAATTTATTGAGAGACTCAAATAGTAAAACTCTAAATCATTTTGAGACGGAGATAGTACGTAAATATTAATGAAAAAAATAATGTTAAATTTCATCTTATATTGTAAATTAAAATGTTCTCCATATATTTTATATCTAAGTACATAACAGAGTAACAACTTCAAATTTATAAATTATACAAAAATTGATTATCAAAACTAATTTTTAATTCAAAATATAAAATGTTTTAATTTTTTTACTCAAGTGGAGATTGGGAAAGGTTATTAGGGGTATACAAATTTTTGGTGGGGCATTAGTATTTTTTTAGAATTAGAGTAGTAAAACAACTTATTAATTTTAATAAAAAGTAATTAATTATAATATTAGTAAATTTTTGGTGGGGCATTAGTAATTATAATAATAGAAAAATAAAAAAGGGGAATGGAATGAGATAACTAAAGAAGAAAAGCAAGAAGAAGAAAAAGGACGAGAAGGAGAAGATGATGGTGATTGGTGAAGAAACTAACAGAGCAAACGGAAGAATTGAAGAATGGATAAAAAGATCTCCTCCGGGTTAGTTTTCGAATAATTAGAGGTACCTCGTAGTATATTTTTAGAATGAGGGCTACCCGATAGTCTTTATCACAAAACTGAGGGTACCCCTCAGCAATTTTTTGATGAATTTAAGATTTATGTTTTGGGCGGGTCAGAGAGGAGAGGTGAAGAACTGGAGGTAGAGATGGTAAGGTTGGCGTAGATCTGTATTTTCCGGATAAGGAAACTGCATATGTCTTTTGTAAAGAATCGTTATAGAATTTTGAACGGATTTGGCATTGGACGGCTAGATTTGCATATTGCAAATGAAATTGGACCGTTGGATATGAGCGAAAATTGGATTGGAAATTGTTCAATTTTGATTCTACTTTTATATATATAACTAGCATTTCACCCGTGCGTTGCACGGGAATATACTTATTTTATAATTTCTGATGAATATAAAGAATTATAAAATTATTTTCAAATTTTTGAATTGAATAACATCTAAAAATATGATTTTCAATACAAATGATGTGATATTCTTCAATAAGAATTACTTCCTCTATCCTATAATGATTTTCTCACATTGATTAAAACCTATCTTCAAATGATTGATTATTTTTACTTTGACTTTTAAATTTACCCCTCTTTCCCACAAGCTCGATTCCATGTTAGAGAGTAGCTTAATAAAGTATCCACCTTTTCCGACTTTGATTGGAAGAGCGACGACGGAAAGTCATGATCTAAACAAAAGGCGTCGAGGACAACTAACGCTTCACGTATACTTGTGGTGTGCTAGGCATGGATCTATTCTCCTAGACGGCAATGATCTATTTCTTTGGCTCGACAGCGGCCGTTATTACATATAAATTTGACAACAAAAATGTGTTCAAAATATAAGTTCATACAACTGTAACTTACATCGTACCACTTGGTTTTCCAACTTGTATTTTAACAAATTTACCAAAACTACTTTAATGAACATAAAACGCTACTGCAAGAGTATGTCTATATAGCTGATATAAAACAATAAGAACACAGTTGTTTCCATACTGGCTTTCTTATCCAACCTTTAGCCAATTTGTCTCTTCTCTACAAGCTGATAAACATTACGGAGTATCAGATTCATAAAAAAATAGTGGGATTTATTGAAAGGTATAAAAACCAACTAAAGCCAAATGGGTTATAGGTTAGCTATAGGCTTACATCAGTGTTACATCTGTTTCATGAGAAAAATATAGTCTTGGTGTTTATGCCACTACTTTCAATAAATTCGTGAGGTATGATTCATCTTTTACCTCCAGGTTCAGTTGCTAGAGATCATATTTTACCTCCGGATTTAGTTGCAAAACAAATAAGAACTTAAGGAACATGAATCAGTATGAATATCCAACCAAAACAGGGCAGTGTTTTTCAAGAGCATCGACAAAACAGGATAATTTACAACACATGCTTTCAAATAGATTAAGAGCAAAAACGCAAGCACATCAATATTTAATTTCAATTCCAACCAGCCACTCAAGCATATAGACAAACATCTACCTGTCTCTTTAAACAGAGTTGTGAATTTTGTAAAGCATTAAAGATGTTAATTGAAGTAGTTGTCTGTCTAGAACATAGAGTAGAATACCAACACAATGATTAAAAAATGTTCTTATTTCCTGTATCAACCCATGATGTACAAAACTTCATAATGTTCTTGTAATTCAATGTCCTTAGCATGTAAATTTCACAATAAGCAATTAGGAGAGAATTTACAGTTTGGACATACCTTGAAATTTGTGTAAAAAGCCGAATCAGATTCTCTAAACCTAAAACCTATGTTAAATCATCTTTTTTTAAATATCCTTCTTTGACGTACCCCAGCTCTTAAAGAAAGTCAATCGTCTTTTAAGAAATTCAAATTTGAAGTAAACTTGTCAGTAAAGATTTGAGAAACAAAAGAAAATTTTAAAGAAGAAGATCGAATTACCGATTTCTCGTATGCAAATCATTGTTGATATCCTCAATTTAAGGAGCGGGTCGCTGCCATCGCTAGGTTTGTCTGCATGTTGTTCAGTTGTTCTTTGTCCACCGTCGCTTTGGTCTTTTGGACGACTATAGGTTTGTTTGTCGGTGCTTGAGCCAGCAGCGTCCCTCCCTGTTTGGATATCTGCATCAGTTAGTTGTTGCGAGGGAAGAAGCAGGTCGGCGGTTGAAAGGAGTTTGGCTGTGACTGTTTTGATCACTGGTTATGAGCATCGATTTTAAGGGACGAATTGCATCATCGTGGTTGCTCCTTTCTCTCGATTTTGGGCAGTTGAAGAGATTAAACTGTAAAATAAAATAATAAATACCCATCATCTTTATTACAAATTTGCCACTGACTGCTTTGAAATTGGAACGTCGGATTAAAACTGAAGTGGAAATTGGGCCATCCAATTTTAGATTTCCAACCGAAAAAAAAGGCCCTAAGATAATTTATTTTTGTCTCTTAAGGAAACAAATTAGGAAGAAAAAAAAAATCGATCTTCCTAAATTCATTTCATAGGATTTGAATGGAGGAAAGGAAAATAAGGAGAAAGAAAGCGAAGATCGCAAATTACTATTTTACCCATATATTCATGTCCCATGGCATATTTGATTTTTTTGAATTGAAGAAAAGTGTTACAAATTAAAGTGTGTGATTAAAAATTCATTTAGAAAAAAGGAAATCAGAAATCTTGTGAGTTGGTATTTTGGTTGCTGTAAGCACAAATGAAATGCTCTCTCCTTCTCGCCGAGTGATGCACAAGAATATATTCTACGAACCTTGACATGAAGATGATGTGTAAATGAAAAGTAGAAGATTTGTTAAAAGAAATAACATAGTTGGATCATACAATTCACTACTGAAGAATGAATATAAAGTTCCATGTTAAATTGTTTCATTTTCTATTTTGTGAAAGAGAAGTTACATTTTGTCCACTAATTCAATCATTTCGTGCAAATAACAAAATTTAAAATGTGAAACAATTAGTAGCCAAAAAATAAAAATACGAATTTATTTCATAGCATATATTCAATTCATTTGTCACAAATATGTTTTTTGACAGATAAAAGATACATGTACAAAGTTGTAAATAATTAACAAACATGAAATATTTGATGCTATAAGATTCTCACCAGTGCTACAACTGAATATTGACTAAAATTTAGGCTTTCATTTAGGAGAGAATATCTTTAATTTACTAAAATACTGTCTGTCACACTTAAATATATTTTGCTAGAAACCACATTAGATCTATAGAGTAAAAAGCATAGCAAGAAAAGGACATAGCAAAGATATTGTACCTGATTGTCAACAATGACTCCACCATTTATTCCCAAACACAGAATATATGGAGTGGTTGTTTTCCCCTTTCCTGATGTGATGTGATTGAATGTTATGTCAATGAACCAAAAAAGATACTCCCTCCGTCCCCAATTTGATTACAAATTGCGGGTTACGGAGTAAAATTTTCTACTATTTGAAATCATTTTATTTACAAACTGGTATATCAATAAGATATAAAAATTACATATTAAAAAACTACGTGAAAAGTTCTACAAAACAAGAGGTGACAAGAATATTTTATTTTATCAAATACTTAATGAAATCGCGTAAACAAACAAAAGTTATCAAGAAGAGAGAGAAAAAAAATTGTAATCTATTTAGGGACGGATGGAGTATCTAACACAATGAAAACACCACACCCAGATTCAATACACCATATACAAAAAAACTGAAATTTAAAAGTGATTAGAGTTGGTGTACCATTGGCTGTAATTCAACAAAAACATCAAAACCATCATCACCGTACCATTCAACTCATCTGCACTTCCAGGACAGCTCCATCTTACCCCTGAAGACGCCAGCTTGCAATTCTCAATGATCGACTAAAATACACAAATATTTGAAAAGTAATTGGTGATGCTCATTTAATCATGGGGTCAAGATGCACACAGCCTTAATCCTGAGGCAATTTCTGTTAGACCTGTGATGCATTGCTGCATTTACCTCTAAAAACTTCATTGAAAGTATGAAACATGTAATAGCAAATCTCAATTTCGTTCTTCATTGGTTCTTCAGTGCAATAGCAAAAAAAAGTGCTTCTTCTCTTGGAAAATCTATATGCCGACAGTTTAAAAATGAAGATTTTTTATGATTTTCATTCATTTTGGATTATAGATGACATAAGAATGATGATAGTGATGCATCAAATGAAAGAGCAATAAGGGTCTACTAATTCTTGTTTCCAAGAAATGAAAACAAAACACATCTTTTCGTGAAGATTTTCAAGTTTGTTATTATAAAAACCTGCAGGTAAATGGCATTAAAAAAGACAATTTATCAATAACTGTCTCCTAAAAAATGATAGGATTGTAAATTATTTAACCTTCAAAAATTACCAGAACTTTGTGGAGTATAATAGTCACCCTCTAACACAAAATGGAAAAAAACATCGTAGCTTTGATAAAATACTAATTGACACTTAGGTACTAATATAAACCTATACCAAAGTATAAAATCAGATTCGATTTTACCTTTAATATGCAATACCAATTCCTCAATTCCTCCAAACCTAACAAATATGATAAATCAGTATTATCAAAATGTTAGGTTCCAAAAAAAAAGAAATTCGTAGGGTTTCCCATCTCCCAGCCACATTTACACGGAAGACACATGTGAAATTTAAAAGAAAATAATACTAATAATTATAATTTTAATAAAACGGAGTAATAAATTTAGAATGAATAGGAGAGCACCAACAATCGACGGAGTCACCAATTCCATGCCCATCGGATGTCATCGGCGGACGGCAAAGTATGGCACAACTGCACGGCGGCGAAGCAAATGATGATATACGCATGATTTCTTGATTGATGAAAGAGAAAACCGCCATGGATATAGAAACCGCAATAGCCATGTATTTCGGATCGGACAATAAAATTGACGGTCAGATTTGTCAAGATGAAATATTGGACCGTCCTATTAGAGTGAAATTGGATCTCAATTTTGATCGTGTTTTTATATACTCCGTATATACTCCGTAATACTCAGTAGAATAGATACGGAGTACTCCTTAATACTCCCTCAGTCCCCAATTTGATTACAAATTGCGAGTTACGGAGTAAAATTTCCTATTTTTTAAAATCATTTTATTTACAAATTGGTATATCAATAAGCTATAAAAATTACATATTAAAAAACTACGTCAAAAGTTCTACAAAATACGAGGTGACAAGAATATTTTATTTTATCAAATACTTGATGAAATCGCGTAAACAAACAAAAGTTATCGAGAGGAGAGAGAAAAAAAGATTGTAATCTATTTAGGGACGGAGGAAGTAGATTAAAACTGGAATTAGTTAAAATATGTCATATTGTCATTAATGAAAGCTGATTAATACCGTAAATTTGGAAAGAAAAAAATGAATAATAAATCAACGCTATTAATGCGGCAAAACCCTTTAAATGTATTTCTTTATTTATGTTTAGTAGCAAGAAAAGTAATAACCAAAAAATGCAATAATTAACTGCAATTTTTAACCCGTGCACGAATTATTGACTTCCATTATAGATATACGCATTATTAGCCTTCTAGAATTATACGCATAGTTTCAAAAAAAAAGTGTGTAGGATTATAGTATAATATAATTATAGTAAAAATAATTATACACACAGTTTCGAAAAAATTTGTTTAAAAAAGTAACCCTTATTACTAAATTTAGCCTTTTAGAATTATATACTATAAATACGGTCCTTTTCCAGGTCCAAGGTAGTAAGATTATTCAACGTGTGTTTTTATTCGGTGCTTCAACATTGCCTTTTGTGCGAGCATGGGACAATCTCTGAAATACGTTGGATTATTGTTACGGAAACCTGTGTTTAGTCATGAACAACTCTATGTTGCAGTTTCAAGAGTAACTAATCATAGTGGGTTAAAGATTCTGATATGCAATGAAGATAATATTCCCACGTATTTTACAAATAATGTAGTCTATAAAGAAGTCTTTCGAAATTCGTAAAGCAGACAAGCAGTGATGTTTTGTACCTTAAAATAATATAATTTCTATATTATATTGTATCTCATTTTTTATTATTAAAAAATGATTTGAATTTATTAACATGAAAATGACCTATGCAACGCACGAGTGTAATACTAGTAAGTTAAAAAATAAGTTGAATAATGAAATGCAACCTAAGCTGCTTCTCCCAAGTATAATCAATTGTGACTAAGAGTCCGTTCCTTTCAAATTATGTTTTTTTAACTTATTATTTATTATTTATATAAATCAGAACTAATCATATCACATTATATTCAAAATGATGGCAGACCAAATCAGATCTAATTAAATTAGATGATATCGAATTAGAATATTCTTTTTATATTAAATTAAATTAATGCAAATAAGTGTTGAAACATAATGCTAATATTTTTTTATTATTACATGATAATTATTATGTGATTAATTTATTTTGCATTATTTAATTTTGCATATAATTTAACAATGAATATTAATCCCTCCGTCCCTAAGTATTTGTCCACGGTTAATTTTTCAATCAAAATTGATAAATTTTGACCTCAAATTAAATGATAATTATATTACATATTGATACAAAAATAGTTTTATTTGATTTATTATATAATATTTTAAAAATATTATTTATCTAATTAATATACAATATATATTTAATTTAATTAGAGGACAAATGTTACTCCTTCCGTCCTATAATGATCTTCCCAGAGCACTATTCTAACTTCATGGGAATTTATATTTATTTGTGTT